TTCCCTAAGGAGGCGAGACTCCCGGACGCGTGAGTGGGACAGAGGCAGCCAGATGCCCTGTGTCAGGGGACGCCCGTGTGCGCATCTGTCCTGGGGAGGCGGTGCGTGTCCACCTGCGCGTGGGGCTGCACTGCACCGTGTGGGTGCCGGGGTCCGGGCCACAGAGGGATTCTGTTTGGCTTTAAAGGACAAGAGACTCTTTGTCTAAGCCCGGCCTCCCTCAAGGGGTCCTTGCTGTGTGCACGCCCTTTGAGGCCCCTGAACGACCACAGTGGTAACAGCTGATGCGTCCTGCATGTCGGGCTCAGCATGTGGCAGACACTGTTACATGCGCTTTCTGTGTATCATATCACGTAAGTGATACAGCAGCTCTGTGGGAGGTACTGTTATCCCATCTTACAGACAAGGAAACTGAGGCACGGACGGGCCGTACAGCTGGTACGTGGCAGAGCTGGGATTTGGCTTCAGTGTCGGTACTGAGCTGTGCCCCCGGGAGGCTGGGCATGTGGCCCAGAGCAAGGACAACGGGACACGGCTCAGGGTGGAGAACCCACAGGCCTGAGGGCGTGGGGGGCAGCCACAGGGAGCCTGCCTCCGCCAGGAGAGAATGTGGGGCACCCGCTGGGGACTGCAGTAACAGTGGGTGTGGGCTGCACCTGGCCCAGGAGGACCCTGCGTGTAGCTTGGAGTGCCTCGGCCGCACACGAGAACCCTGTGTCCTAACCGCTCACTCTCCTAGACCCACAGCTCAGCCGAGTGGCCTGCCCATCTTCCCTTCCACGCTCCTGTTCCTGGCGCGGCATCCCCCGGAACGGCCATGCATCAGGAGGGGGCTGATGCGGCCCCTGCTCACCTCCCCGACTGGCCCATCTGCCGGTGCTCACGCTTGTGCTCATAGCTCGCTGACACTCTCTGCCCCAGGCAGCCCTTCTGCCATTATCTTGGGCAGCTGATGCATTTTTATAGGGCCGTGGCTATCTCCTCATCAGGTGATAAACCTCAGAGGGCAGGAGCTGGGCCGTGAGCCCAGGAAGGCTCCATGGGCTGGACGTGCAGGCCCCGGGGGAGGCCCCAGTGCTGTCCCCAGAGACACCGTTCCTGCAGATCTGGGCCTCGGCATCTGCTCTCCCTGCCCCATTCGTCATCTCTAGGCACTGACAAATGGGCCTGCCCCTCTGTCGCCGCAGTAGCTCCATCCACCTCGTTATTCACAGCACAGACTCTCCCAGGTGACTGAAAGGTTCTCTCTGATGCCTGGAGACAAAGCATTTTCCACTCGTGTCTTGCTTGGGAGAAATTTATAGGCAAGGAGTGTAAATTGATAGAGGCACGGCCATGCCGGGGGGAGCTTCAGGGACCACGTTGTGGCAGGTGTGTATGAGACCCCGGCTTGCCTCTGTGCATCGGGAAGCCCCCCCTGCTGCCGGGCCACGTGCCTGGTGCCTGGTCGGGTGCTCCCCACCCCATGCCCCACGCAGGCGAGCAGGAGGGAGCGGGGTGGGTAGGCCCCACAGGACACCGACACACAGGCGACACACAGGCGACACACAGACAGGGGCAGTGGCACAGCCCTGTGCTTGGGCCCCTGCCCTGGGGGTCGGTGGGTGGGGTGGGTCCCCCTGGACCTGCTTCTCAGATGAAAGAGTGGGCGGAGGTGCTCTCTGGGCTACCGGCCCTGCTGCCTGGCTTCCTGCCCCCATCTGCTGATGGGTAGACTGGTCACTTCCAGAAGTTTTGTTGTGGTTCTTCATGGGAACTACCTGTTGTGTTTTCATGCTCTATGGTTAGGTGTCAGTTCATAGGTGCGTATAGTCCCTGAAATTCTGTTACCAGAAATCCTTGGGGGTCTGACAACTCTTGTGGATGAAGTGTGGATTGTGAGTTCATCTTCAGTGTGTGTGTGTGTGTGTGTACATAGCGTGCACACAGACCCTGGCTGGCCTGAGGCTGTGGCCGCCCAGTTGGCTTTGTGTCACTCCAAACCATGCTGGACCCTGAACCCCACGGAGGATAGACCCACACTATGAACTCTGACGGAAGGCTGGTATTTTATTTTTCCCCAGAGCCCAGGCAGGCTCCCTGATGGCCTGCTTTGATGCTGGCGAATTTTCTCCATGTCTGCCCTTCTGCTGAGGTTGCATCCCGGCCCAGGCCGCAGCTGTATGTGTGGGTGGGGTCTCGTTCTCTTCTGCTACTTATGTCCCTGAGGCCTTGTCCCTGTCCCCACATGGCAGTGAAAGCCAAGGCCTCCAGCTTCCCAAGCCTGGCAGCTCCCTCTTCCTTCCTGTCCCATGAACGTGGTTCTACGTACTGTCTTTCATGTAGCACCTCTTGAGTGGGGAGGTGGGACGGTTTCCGGTTTCCGGTTCCGGTTTTCAGTTACTCTACCATTGTCTCCTTCTGGCTCCAGAGGGACCAACGGGTAGCTTCCAGCTGAATTTGGCTGTAGACTTATGTCCTTCAGGAGTTAGGCCCCTCTGGCTATGGGTCACCTGATCCTCATCTGGTTCACAGTTGGCCATATTTTCCATAAAGTTCCAGAGGGATCTTTATCAACTGCCCTTCTATCACCGCCTTGGTCTGTGAGCTGTGTAGTGGGAACGGGTGCAGCTCTGACCGAGCTCCTACCAGGCTCCACAGGAGCTCCGTGTCACCCATGTGGCCCCAGTTTGCAGCATGCACTGCTCAGCACCCCTGTCCCTTGAGAACCAGAAATGCGTGGGACACATCTTTCAATGGGCCCCCTGACCATTGCATGTGTCCACAGCCCAGGCCTGAGGGCCCAGAGAGAGGGACCTCCGAGGCGCGTGATCAGAAAACGTGGGCCTGTCGCGTTCGCCTGTTATTGCCACCAAAGCCCCAGTTGGTCCTCACATCGTGTCAAAAAAGTTAATTCAAACGAAAATTAGATGCTGAAGTCCAGTTTGAAGAACTTCAAGTCATTTTCAGCTCGAGTGACTTTTCGACTTCTGGCGTTTCTCCTCTTCCTGTGGCTAGAAACTGCCCCAGGGCCGGGCTGCAATCCGCAGGTGAAAACTGGGTCAGCCTTCGCTCAGTCTAGTGCTTCTGTAAGCTGTGCCTTTTACCCTAAAGTGCTTTTTTCTTAAATGGAAGCCGGAGCGTGCCGTGAAGGCTGTTTCTTCTGAGCAGAGGACACGGCCAGGAAATGCAGGCTGCTGAGGCTGTAGGGGAGGGAAGCCGCCCTCCCACCCCGTGTCCTCAGGCCTCTGCAGAATGTTCCCGATTATTCATGTGCACATGCGCACACGGTACTACGGCTGTCCCTCGGCCTGGCCTTCCTGGCTGTTCCCACAGTTGTCTGCCTGTCCCCGCCCCAGGAGAGGCCCTCTGTCCCCAGCCCCTGGAGAATGGCCATGCGGCCCCGAGATCTGCTTCTGTCCAGACAGGCTTGGGTCTTCCTTATAAGGGAGCAGCTCCATGGTGCATCGGGCGTCCTCCCCTCATGTGGGCTCGCTGTGCGGGGGGGCCCCGTGTCCGAGGCCCTGGTATCAGAGGCTGCCTGCCGGGGCTTGGCGCTGGAAGGCTGGCCCCAGGAAGGAACCGGCTGGGCTGTAGCCACACACGGGGCTGTGACTTGGTCTCGCCGCCCCCGTGGTCTCCGGGACAGAGGTGGAAGTTGGTGGCAGCCCCAGAGTGCCCCTGCTGTGAATACAGGGCACTGATAAGGGGGGAGTGTGCGCCCTTCCTTGCCTCCCTGGCACTTCCTGAAATCCTTTCTGTTGAGGAAATCGTTCACTCACAGATACCCAATTATCCTGGGAGGTTTGTGAAGCAAGTCTAGAAGCTGATTGAACGGAGCAGAACCGTTCCTGCGTGACAACTACTTAATACCCAATCAAAACAATTATACGTAATTGGTGTTTACAGCGCCTGGAAGATTAGACTCCTCCATACAGACGTTCCCCGAAACAGGCCTCAAGTGAGCAGGGCAGGATTGCCACTCAGCATGCCCGCGGGCGGCCTTGGTGTTCCAAGGACGGGGGCAGTGGCACAGCCCTGTGCTTGGGCCCCTGCCCTGGGGGTTGGTGGGTGGGGTGGGGCCCCCTGGACCTGCTTCTCAGCTGTTGCCCACGCCCCCCGAGGGTTCAGCACTCCTGAGCTGGTGTTCATGTGGCTGGTCTGGTCCATCAGCCTCTGTAGTCATCTGCAGGATCTGCCCCAGGAGGGCAGGGGGCAGGGCTCAGGCCTTTGCCAGGGGTGGCTTACCCTCTGACCTTGACATCCTGTGCACCTGGAGGCCTCCCCAGGCTCTGGCTCTGGGCTCACCCTGGGGGCTAGCGACCCCCTCTAGGATCTCATCTTTGCCTCCCCTGCCCAGAGTGGGAGCTTGTCCAGGGGGCCATTTGCTGCTTGGCCTGAGGAAGGAGAAGGAGGACCTGTCCTCAGACCCTGCCTCTCTCCACCCCCTCTGCCCCCAACCAGAGACCACTCTGCCCTGCTTTGTCTCTGTGAGGGCCTGCCCCTCGACCCTGTCCTACAGGCCAGCGCCCAGCGGTTCTGCTCTCCTTTCCCCGTGCCCCTCCCCAGGGTCAGGCCCAGGGCCATCTGAGGCTGGCTCGGGGCTGGGAGAGCTCATGTCCAGCCCCTCGTGGTGGCGTGGTGGGGCGGGCTGTGGCCAGTGGACACGGGAGTCCCAGGGAGACAGCGGCGGCCCCTGCCCCAGCCCGGCCTCCCGCAGGAGCAGGGCTGCCTTCACGACGGGCCCGGGGCACTGGGCGGCCCCCAGCACGGGAGGTGGTGGGAGGTGGCGCACCTCTTGTTTGTCTTCCCTCTCCTCACTGGCCTCTGCTGCTGTGGCCTGCGCCGACCCTGGGCTCCGGGCTCCAAGCCCCAAGCCCCAAGCCCCGCAGAGCCATGCAGGGGAGCGCAGGTCTTGCTGCGGGTACCGCCAAGCAAGCCCAGCCGGGCCCAGGACTTGCGTGGGGCGGGGGCACGCATCCTCTGGCAACTCCGTCTTGACGTCCTTTCTTCCCCTGCAGCCTCTTCGAGCACTACTGCTACTCCCGGGGGGGCATGCGCCACAGTTCCTACACCTGCATCTGTGGCAGGTAAGTGGGAATGGCAGGGAGGGGAGGTGGTGGGAAGGCGGGGGCCCCCTCCCCATCCCCTGAACTTGGACACACCTGCTCGCTACCACGCCCACAGCAGTGCCCACTGAAGCTAAGCCATTCTCCCCTCCTACGGCTTCTGGCCTGTGCGGGGCGCCCAAGGGAGCCGGCCCACTCGCTGCCGTGCCCTCCCTCGCCCTCTCTGGGATGGCTGCCCCCCTGGGGCTGCTGGCTAGCCCTCCTTCCCCCTCCACACAGGCACACAGGCAGCATGTGGGGACCAGGGTGTGAGTTGGGACTGTGACGGCTTCTGCTTACAGCAGAGGCAGAAGGAGCCATGTCGGTGCAGGAGGCCATGGTTCCGTGTCTGTGTGTGTGTGTGTGGCCGTCAGTGTGGCTGTGTAGGGAACATCCCGACAGTGGGTGGGTCCGGGTCTCTGTGGTGGGGGGTGTCCCCCCACATGCAGCACATGGTGGCTGGGGCGGGGGGCTTTGTGTGTGTCAGCTGCACATGGCTGAGTGTGCTTAGAGGCCACGGGGTTCAAATGCCCCTGAGAACGGGGCAGCCCGTGGCTGTGGGTGTGCACGGCTGTGTGCTTGTCTGTGTGTCTCTGAGGGGCACACCCTGGCTGGGGGTGGCCCCCTCGGCTCCCGGGTGCACCCTAGCTCGCCTCGCCCAGCTCTGCACCCTGCGTCAGAGGGTCTGGCCTCTGCCCAGCCAGGACAGAACCAGCAGCTCTGCTGATGCGCACGTCCTCGGCACATGAATAATACATGTGAACGTCTCAGTCTTTGGAAATGTTCTTCTCTGGTGGATAGAGAGAAAAATCATTATTTCTACTTTTATGATTCCTGAGACTCCCGAACAGGGCCATAAATATTACACCCAGGTGGGATTTTTTTTTTCCTTTGGACAGACTTAAAAGTCCTTTTTTTCTTAAAGGCATCGCTCATCAGGGAAGCAAGCTTGAGTAGAGGAGCGAGGCCATGGTCCGGGCCCTTCCCCCTGGGCCTCCCCCCGCCCAAAACCAGAAGACAGCTTCCTCGGGGTCCCTTCCCTGGACCTCAGACCTTTGTCCCCCCCACCAGTCCCACATGCCGAGCCCCAAGCGCATCTGCCCACACAGCGCTCATCTGGGGGAGCCCTGCTGTGTCAGCATGCGAGCTGTGAGCCACGAGGCTGGCCACCAGCTGTACGGCCTGACCCAGCCGGGCCTCTGCTGGAGCGGGGGATGGTACTGCTCATGGGCCGGGGCCTGCCCCTGAGAATGGGGCAGCCTGTGGCTGTGGGTGTGCACGGCTGTGTGCGTGTCTGCGTGTCTGCATGTATCCCCGTGGGTGTGTCTCTGAGGGGCACATCCTGGTGAGGATGGGCTGTTGACCTCCCCCGGTGCTCCACAGTGGTGAGAATTCGGCGGTGCTGCACTATGGACACGCCGGGGCCCCCAATGACCGGACCATCCAGGATGGAGACATGTGGTGAGTGAGGCCAGCCCCGAGCCGGCCCTGCCCTGGCTCTGCATGTGACCCGCGGGGTTGCAGGGGGTCTCCACCTCCAGGGGGACTGACTGGAGGGCCTCTTGGTCCCACCCTGAGAGGGCTGAGCACAGTGAGGCCCCCAGGTCTGCTCTGGGCCCAGACTTCTTTACCAGGACTGCCCACCTGCATGGCTCCTTCTCTGCAAGGCCAGGGAAGCACCAAGAGAGGGTGCGGGGGACCCTGTGCCAGGTGGTGGGGGGTTGCTGAGGCACAGCCTCAGAGGGGGCCTGAGCTGGCCCCCAGCGCCTGCCCCGCACTCGCCACACTCACACCTATCTTGGTACCAGGAGGGCGGGCACCTAGTCTGGAGCAGGGAAGACCCCTGGGGAGCCTCCCACCCTCTGAATCCTGAGCCTTAGCCATCCATAAATGGCCATGAGTTCAGGAGGTCAGAGGGGGCTCTTGACCTTCAAGACTGTTTGCGGGGCTTTCCTGAGCACACCTTAAGGTGCTTAGGGCACCTCCTAGAGCCCCGACCAAGCAGATGTGGGCAGGATCTGCAGCCCTCAGCCCCCCGATGGACTCTCCCCTGTTGGCAGGATTGCACTCCCGCTCACGCACCCCCCCCGCCCGACAGGGTAGAGGGCTCATACTGAGCATAGGCCGCACCTCTCTGGGCAGTTGCCCCGGGTCTTGGCAGGGGTCTGTGTGTGCCTCGCTTACCTGGACCAGCTCTCTCTTTGACTCAGGGACACTGGGCACTGCCCACTTCTCCTCTCACTGCCCAGACATCAGGCAGGGCCAGCCCAGCCCACAGGAGACATGTGGTGAGGGGTTGGCCTCACTCACCACATGTCTCCTGTGCTCAGGAAAGCCTGAGCTGAGAGCCACTGAGAGCCACCCAGAGGCCACCCTGTCTTGGCCTTCAGACATCTTGCCACAGTCATCAACACACGGCTGCGGTGGGGGGCACACACTGTCGCATCCGGTTCTTTGGGGCCTGCAGCTCCTAGTTGCTGGGGCACCTGAGCAAGAACCCTGCCAGCCTGCTTCCCGGCAGCATCGTGCCTCGTGTGGGGTTGTGGGTGTCGCCCTGCGAGGCTCCGTTCCCCAGCTGGAGTTCCGGCCATGCAGCCCGGCGGCCAGAACCTGGCCTCCCGCACGTGTAAGCCCAGCCCTGAGGCAGGGAGGAGGGCAGCCTGCACACAGGAGGCCCTGGCCTGCATCCACTGGGGGGCCCGAGCCGTGTTCTGAGCTGTCCCTGCTAAGTGTTTTCAGACAGCCACCCAACCCCAGGGGGGTCCGTCCCTGCCGCAGGGCACACTGGGCTCGGTGACTGGCTGAGGGCTCTGCGCTCACCCGGGGGCAGTAGCGGGACGGGCTGTTCTGGCTAGGGCTGCTGTCGCCCAGAGCCCAGTTCTACCTTCTGGGAGGAAACAAAGCCCCTGAGTTCCCTCTTGGAGCCTCAGTTTACTTTTCTGTCAGTGGAGTTAGCACACAGCTCTCAGAATGGCACGAAGGGGCAGAAGAAATGTGTCAGAAAGGCAAGGGCTGAGCTCATGTGCCCTTTCCTGGGGGGTCTGGGCCAGTAGAGTGGGGATGGGAGCATACAGAGGGGGACACCCAAAGTGTCTGCACCCCTCCCAGAGTGGCTCGTGTCCTTCTTGGCATAGGGGCCAAGGGTGTGCAGAAACCCTGACAGGACCTTCCCCTGTACCTGGCCCCGGGGACGTCTCTTCAGGTAGATTTTCTCACCCTGCCCCCCGCCCTGTGCCCCACGCCCCAACCTGTAGGCGAGGTCACTGAGACACAAGGAAGGTCCAGGTGCAGAGCCAGAGGGATTTAGGGAGGGGGGTGGCTGCCCGAGATGTGGCTCAGCTGGAGACTAAGGGCAGACAGGGGAGCGCCGTGCCCTCTGGGCCAAAGAGAGACCACCTGGTGTCTCCAGGGACTTTTGCGTCCTGGAACCTTTCCTAGTGCTCTTTGTGCTGCCCATTCTGGCTGGGCCACGAGGCCAGGATGTGGGAATCCAGTCCCCGGGCAGAGGCAGAGACCTCGCCATACCAGTGGGTTTTGGCTGTCCTGGGGCCAGCTCTGGCCTCCTGGAGGGCCCTGTGGCAGTGCCGTGTGGCCATGATTTTTCTCCTCTGTGAACTTGGCACACCCCAGAGGAAGTGGCTCCTTCACCACTCTATCTGCCCCCACTACGGTCCTCAGCCCATGAGAGGCCGGTCGCAGCTGCGTTCCTGGACTGGCCGCTGCTCGGGTGGGGCTGGGCTGACCAGGGCGCAGCATATATCAGCTTCCCACGTGGCCCAGATGTGGCCCCGGCCCTCCTGGCAGCACGTGGCACCCGCAGCTCCTGCTTGCAGCTAGGACGAGAGGACTGAGGGCTGATCCAGGAATCCCACGGATGTTAATGCCAAGTTCAAACTGGTGATTTGATTTTTCTAGTGCTAACTTTGAAATGTAGCCAGTAGAATAATTATGAGTTTATTATAGTCAATTTATTATGCAGCATTTAGAACAACATGTTTTGTTGATTACTGCTGCTGCCAGATTGCTGGTGGCACTTATAATCCACTGTTTTATTGAAATTGATCTGCCGTGCCTACTGAGTTCGGTAAATAATAAATCACTTTGTTATCCCAACGTAAAAGCCACGATACTTCGTCATAAGGTATGAAACCAAAATGTGAGCATGGTGCAGTTTTTCCTGAAGCTGAGTGTGTCCCAGAGCACAACTATTCCAGATGTCGGCCTGGGGGTAGGTCCTGGGGCTCAGTCCCTTGAAGTCAGATGAAAATGCCCCAGAGATATTTGAACATTGAGGAGGGGGCTGCTTGGGGCCAGAGCTGGTCCAGGGCAGTCAGGCTCTACTGGAGAAGGTGGGGGTGGGGGCTGAGAGGCGGCCAACCTTTCCATCCCTCTCCCTCCGGTCCCAGACGTGCCCCCAGCCCCCGACAGGGAGCCTCAGAGAGCCTGGGGTGTGTGACAATGAGCGTGGAGGGTCCCTAGTTCTGCCCCTGCCCTCCCCCTCCCTACCTGAGTGTCCAGTACCCCGAGCCTCAGCTTCTGCATCCACACCCAGCTCTGGGAGGATTCAGCGAGAATAAGCAGTGTTGAGTGGGGAGCCTGGCACAGCATGGCCTTGGCGGGTGAGAGGGGCAGTGGTGCCCGTCCTCAGAGCCAGCAGGCTGGGCTTCTGCCTGTGCTCTGGGGCCCTGAGGCCCACCTTCCAGCAGCGGGTTCCATGACAGACGGGCGGTGAGAGGCACCACAGAGCCTGAGGCAGATAGCTGTCGAACCCCGAGGCCTGTTCTGTGTTTTCAGCCCCACACTGTCCTCGAGGTGAGTGCCAGGTGGGGCGTGAGGCTGGCCAGATCCACCCCCCGTCCCCATGCCTCTGTCCCTCCGGGACCAGCCCCTTCTCAGGAGCCGGGTCGAAGCTGCTGTAGTCCTCAGTCATTGCCCTGGGAACAGGGCTTGTGAGTTAGGCACACTGGTTCGTCTTCCTTGTCTGCCTTGTCTTCCCAGGACTGAACAGCAAGGGCTGCTTCACCCACCACGCCCGCTCCGTGGGCCCCTTCCCATGTCTCCCTGCTGGATGCAGCCCCACTTGCTCAGCATGAGCCACAGGTGGGGAACCAGACTTTGATGTGGCTTCAGATCCCTGGGGGCCTCGCCCTCATCTCCCTCAGAGCCATGAGGCCTCTTGGGGGGGGTGCCTCTTGGGCCTTTGCCCTTGGTTCTCAGAGCCCTTTCATGGGTTCTCCAGGAACCTGTCTCCCAGCCATGGTTCTAGAGAAGCCATCAATTGCTTTTTGTTCAGGCGTTTAAGGCAAGTGGCAGACCTTGTCAGACAGGGTGGTAGGAGTGTGGTACACTTGCTAATGCATATGCTCTTCACGTGCTCACACATAGGATGGTGGCTACTGTCATTGGACACTCTTTCTGGGTAGGAGCCCCAGAAGACCCCTCCCCACCAAATCAGCCCCAGCCAGGTGGGTGTGAGCACAGATGTTGTGAAGACAGATGTGGCCCCCATGGGCTGCCCTGGCTTCCCAGAACCAGCCTGGGCTTTGGAAACCAGAGGCCCCAAGGCAGGTGGAGGAGCCATGGGGCTGGTGTGCCACCCATGAGCTACCAGGGAACGCCACTGTCCGTGTTCAAATCCCCTGGGAAGCAGTGCACCCAGAGTCAGATCCTCCCTTGTGCTGGGCTCCTGGGTCTGAGGCTGGCCTTTGCAGCCCTCCTGCCTCCCCGGGGCCCCTCAGCAGGATCACCCCAGGGGCAGAGGCAGGAGGGGCCCAGGCTGTGCCTCCAGTGGGTCCTGATTTGGAAAACAGCTGGGACACCCCTCCTCAACCACTGCTGCCTCCTGCCCTACCATCCGATCAGGGAGCAGGGGAGTGGTTTCTGAGGTAGGATACCCTGTGTATCCTTCTAGAACCTTCTAGAGCACCTGTCTAAGGATGCCCAGGCCTGGGTTGTCCAGCTGCAGGCAAGATGCAGCCAGTGGGTGGCGCGCCGGACGTCCCAGCACTGGCCAGAAGAGGGCAGCGTTGTCTCAGGATGTGTGGGCTGGCCTCCTCCCTGCTGGCCCGCTGTCTGTGCCGACCCCAGGGTGTGGGAGGGGACAGCCAGTCCAGTTAGGGGGAGAGGCCTGTCCCAGCCCCATGCCGGATCCGCTCCCCCTCTCCTCTCCTCTCCTGTCAGAGGTCGGGGGCCTGTATTTCTCCTTGCCATGGTAATGGTCAGCCTGATGCCCTGGCTCTCTCTTGCCTTGCTCTGCTGACCAGCAGAGGTGGGGACACGGCACATGATGACCGAAGCTGCACTTCTCTCTGCCTAGAGAAATAAGGGCTTTCCTCCCAGGGAAGCCCCTGGAGACACCTGACCTGTTGCCGGCATGTCAGTGGCACATGCTGACCGTGTCACACCCCCAAGCTGCCCCGTCCTTTTCCTTCCACAGATGGGGGGACAGACCTGTGAGGGATCGTGGTCAAGGCAGGCTCTTTCCCTAGCTGGCCACCCTTCCTGCCACCAGCGCCATTACCGCCGGCTCCTTCCTGCCCCTGTCTCGTTCCCATTTAGTTCCACAGGCTTGACGTGGACTAGATGTTAAGTTGCGTGGGGGAAGTCACCCTACCTCACCCCCTCCGTCCCAGGCCACCGTGCCGTGGGCAGCAGTCTGCATCTCTGTCAGACACCCTGCCCCCAGCCTGCAGGCTGTAGGGGGCCCCCCGCCGCTAACCCAGGGCCCCAGCAGCCCCCTTGGTGTCCCACAGGCTGTGATGGGATGGTCCTGCCTGTTCCCGGCAACCACCTGCTCTGATGTCTGCCTGGCACCTGCAGCCCCATGGAGGGGCGAGTGTCTAGGTCTGGTGGCGGAGCTGGGGTGAGGGAGCCTCCAGGCCTCACTTGTCCTGGTGCCCGATGTCCTGGTTGACTTCAGAGAACGAGTGTCACCTCCAGAGCCTGCTCCCTGACCCCTGTCCCCTGGCTGTTTCCTCAGAGGAACACTTGATTCTCACCCAGCAGCCCCATACCAGGGATTCAGTGGTCTTAAAGACATGCCCAGGCCTCAGGGTAAGAGAACAGTCTCAGGGGGGCACAGACCCCGCTAGCCTGGACAGCCAGACCAGTGGCCATAGCCGTCAGCCTTCCGTCCCAGTGAGAAGCACCTTCACATTCTGGCCCCGTCCCACATGCACAGACCTACCCAGACTAGAACCGGGTACCCCACCGCATGGTCTGTCCGTTCTGAGTACTTCACGTTCCTTGCCTGCACCCCACGCAGTTGACTTCACCGCCCCCGGCTTGAAAAGCACTGCTCCAGACAGCCTGGGTGCTCACAGACATCATGGGACACTGCTGACCAAAAAAGTGAAATGAAGCATGTGCTGGGCTCGTGACACGACTCCGTCCCTCCCCGGCAGAGGCCACTGCCCTGACGCCCGGCCCTTGCCTGCTGTGCCGCGGTGGCAGTGAGTGCTTGGCTGGGTGGTCACTGTGTCCCACCCACACAGCGGGCCAGGTGCCGTGTAGTGCCCTTCCAGGGGACTTGGCCCCACACGGGGGCTCTGCTTCTCCCCACGCCGTCTGTAGAATGGGAACAACAGTTCTTTCCAGACACGCAGGACGCCCCCGGCCCGAGCCTGTGTGCCAGGGACCGCTGGCTCTGGGTCTCTGGGGGCTGGTCGCTTGGGCAACTTTCCTGTCTGCCTGGGCCCCCCAGGAGCAGCCGACCCATGACTGGAGTGGAGAGCAGGGATGCCTAGAAGGTACTGGGGAGAGGTCTGCTTGATGAGTCAGCCTGTGGCCTCCAAGTGATGGCCTCAGCCCCGCCGGTCACAGCGGGGGCTGGGCAGTCCGGGGGGCGGGCCACGTGCCTCGTCCGGAGGGGCTGCCCGCTGCAGGAAACGAACGGGAAAGCCAGCGGCACGTCTTCCTCTCTCACGCTGAGGTCTGGAGGGAAGCAGGAGTTTCCTGCTTCTCAGAAATCCCCTGGCCTCGCCTGGAACACAGGCTGGGGTGGCGGCGAATTGAGGTCTGAAATGCTCCTGCCCCGGTGAATAGGCCCAGCGCCAGCTGGGCTTGGGTGAGAGGCGGCCGGGGGCGAGGCCACGGCTCGGGACGCTGAGCGCAGAGCCTCGTATGTGCATAGCAGCGTTTCCCCAGAATGCTTCCCAAGCCTCTGTCACTGGCCCATCTCGGAGGCCTTCTGCCTGTGGGCCGGCCGGTCCCTGCTGTGGGGCCCGGGGAACTGAGGGGGGCTTGGGGAGGGCCCTGCTGAGCCAAGGGTGGCGGGCAGCCCGGGCATGAAGCTGCCCGGGAGGAGCCAAGGGCAGACAGAACCTCTCATCCTGGCCAGAAATAGAACCAGATAAACACATACGAGCAAAGAGACGCCAGTGTATTGCTTGGAGATGTGTAACAGCTTCCCAGATGTCTTAGATTATCACACGCATTCACTCGGCCAAAGATGGTAGCGGCCCTGGTGGGTGTCCCCAGGCAGGGGGAGGAGGATCCTGAGCGCTCGGTGGAGCCAAAGGATGACCGAATTCCCCATTGTCACTTTGCGCTCGGAGGACGGATGAAGTGGACACAGAGGAGCTGGAGGGAGATGATTTATGGAAGAGGCCGCTTTCGTCCTCGGATTCCGGACTGGCTTGAATCTGAATAACTTACGTGTGTAGGAACTCTGAGGGGGATTTTTTTTTTTTTTTTTTTTTTAAGTGGAGAAAGGGAACTGAGAGCACGAAAATAGACTCCAGCCCCGTGCCCGAGCGGCGCTGGGCAGAATGGAGCTGGCCACCTAGGCGAACACTTCCTTCTGCAGTGAGCGGACGGTTCTCACACAACAAATACAAGCGAGGTCTTCTAGAGTCCGAACGGTAAAGCCAGGCTGGCCGAGGGGCTCCCAGCACCCCTGTCCCACGTTCTCACTGTGTTTCTGAGGAGCATGTTTGGAGAACTCTGTCAGGAGTCTGGCTGCCGCAGAGGAGTGTCTTGTCTCCACTGCTCTAGAAGACTCCAGCCTTCAATGTGCTCTCGTGGGCTTCCTCGTTTTTTAAATAGTTCTATTTCTGTTTTTCTTTGAGATCAGCACAGTCCAGCAGAGCCGTCTGCCCCAGCGGTGCCGCTGCAGGTTGCCCCGCGATGGGGTGGCCCCCACGGGCCTGTGTCACCCAGGCCCCCAGCTCCGTCCTGTCTGCTCAGACCATTCTTGGACGTTCTGAATCAACAAACCACAAACCGTGTTCCTTTGTTGCCTCGGAGGGGCCCAAATGAGAATGCTCTGCTCCCAGGGTGGAACTGGGCCGTGGCCCCACACAAATCCACTCCCCACGCCTGCCTACACACCGGCCCTGAGAGGACACAGCGGCGGTGGCGCCCCTATCTTAAAGGGAGAAGTGCTGAGGCCCGGGGGGTCCAGCGCGGGAGTCAGAACAGGGCCTGTCGTTGGGCTCTGAGCTGCCACCCCCAGATATGGGGCTTTGCTGGGTCCCTGTTCAGAGCCTCATGTCCCCTGCCCTCCCGGCCAGCTCTATGGGGCCAGTGCCCGCCACCCCCCCCACCCCCCTGCCCAGGAGTCAGCCTGCAGGCGGCTGTTGACCCAAACCCCTGGGTGCATCTGGAGCCTCCTGGGGAACAGCTGCCTGGGTGTGTCTGTTCAGGACCTCCCTGTCTTGTCTTCGGGTTACCCCCAGTGAGGCCCAGGGCCCCGCCACGAGCCTGTCCCAGGCAGGGTCCCCTAGAGTCTGTGACTTTGACCCAGCCCGAAGTTCCCGTGCCATACTGCTCGGGGCTCTCCCCCCACCCCCTGAGAATCACCTGAGGTGTTATCTGGTGCTTTTTGCACTGTTGACACTGTTTATGGCGTTTTGCAATCAGAAAGGAGATGAAAAAGCGCTCGGCTGGGGACTTTGGATTCCAGCAGAGCGTCCGGGGATCCTGAGCATTCAAATTTTTCCTTTAAAACTCTGTTTCTTTGGAGTAGCGGGTGCTGCCTGTCAGGCCACATGGCCCGACTCCTCCACTGGCAGGGCAGGGACCCCCTGCTCTGTCGTCTGGCGTGGGGGATTGGGGCCCCAAAGGCAGGTGCACAGGTGGCCCCTGCAGTGTTTGTTGAGTGGCTGTCCTCACCACGAGGATTTGGGTTTGGGGGAGAGCTCAGCCCTGCCCTGGGCTCAGGTTTGTCAGGATCTATGCAGCTGCAGCCTGACCCCACCCCCCGCCCTCGGAGGATGGAGCAGAGGGCAGCCACGCCCCTCAGCTCCCCTCGACTCTGGTCACCTGGCCCTGAGGACGCAGCAGAATCCTGGGCCTGGGGTTAGACCACTGTCCCTCAGTTGGTTTTGTCTCCATCAGCGTCATGCTTGGCTGATGAAGGGGCCCCCTCTGTATGCCTGCTGCCGAGCGGCCTGCTGAGATGCTTGGGGAGGGACAGGATGGGGGGGCGCTCCATCTGTACACCCCTCCTGCTCTCATTTGGGGTCCTGTCAGCGTGGTGATCCAGCAGCCCTTCACATATCCTGTCACATTCCAGCATGCAGGGTGCAGGGGAGGATTGTTTCTTGCCCTTGACCACTGAGGCCCCGGAGGCCCCAGCTCCTGGGCCCTGTGCACAAGGTCAGGCCGCTAAGGTGTCGGAGACGCCCAGCCCGCACCCTCCTAGCCCTGCTGCGCTGGGCCCGGTTACAGGGGGTCCAGCGGGCAGGCTGAGCTGGACTCATGACTCAGGAGCCTGCCTGTGTGTTACCAGCACCTTCCTGCCTCTGCTGGTTCTCAGACCCCAGCTCAGGGCCTCCGTAGCTTCCTACTCTCCACCCCAGGGGATGTGGGGGCGCCCTGTTGGACGTGAGGACTGCCGTCTGCCACATCCTCCCGGTCCTTCCCTCACGCCTTGGTAGAGCACATCTGTCCCATCCCAGTGGGGAGAGGGACGCTTCCACTGGGTTTTCACTCAGACCCTGGGGCCCAGGAGAGCTGGGTGGTGTGGCTTAGCCCACCTTGTCTGTCGGGTGTGTTCATCCATCCCAAGGCCCCTGAGCAGTGCTGGGGCAGGGAAGTACCGGGAGGGTCTGGGAGTGCTCGCATGGAGGCCACATGGTGAGTCGGGGCCTGGGGACATCTCTGCACCTCCCTCATTCTCCAGGTGAGGCCCCGCAGCTGGGCATCCAGATGCCTGGCCAGCAGAGGCCTGGGAGGGCAGGGGAATGTGTGCAGGATCGGCCCCACTCCCTCCAGGCTACCCTGCTCTGGGGCCGGAGGTCTCCCGAGATGGCAGCATGAGGACACAGCAGGGCGGGAGGCCCCGTACTGTTGCCTGCCCCAGTGATGCAGCAGGGTGGCTCGGGCTAGCACCCTGACACCCCCAGGGCCCAGCAGGCTGTCCTTGAGTCTCCTGGGGGAGGAGGGGTGGGGGGCATCCCAACCTCACAGCTTCCTCTCCCCGCAGCCTGTTCGACATGGGTGGAGAGTATTACTGCTTCTCCTCCGACATCACGTGCTCCTTCCCGGCCAATGGCAAGTTCACCGCAGACCAGAAGGCCATCTACGAGGCGGTGCTCCGGAGCTGCCGTGCTGTCATGAGCGCCATGAAGCCAGGTGAGGACACTAGTGGCCATGAGGCAGGTCCTGCACTCCACAGCCTGACTCTCTCCCCCTTCGCTCGCACAACTGGCTGAGACTCCAGATGATAGCGGATCCCCAGGAGCAGCCCTGGGAAAGGGGCTGACCACCACGGAGGGACAGGGCTGGGAACTGGGGAGCTCGGCCCAAAGTCACCCCACATCCCATTGGACGTCCTCCACCAGCAAGAACCCCTGCTCGCAGGGGCCACTGCGATGTGAGCATGTCCCCTGTCCTGTCCTGCAGGGACCACTCCAGTGAGAGCTTGACTGGCAGAAGCCAACACTGGCGTTTAGTTGGGTGTTGGGCGCCCTTTTGTTCAGGCTGCCGCTGGCTTTGGTGGGGGCCAAGTGTCTCGCGGTGTTTGGGGAATGGTGGGCGGCTGCCGCAGGGCCCTCTGGGGGCCTGGCCATGACAACCTCGAAGGCTGGACTCCAAGCTCGTTCTGAAATCAGAGGGATCGTGCAGTCAGATTGGCGTCCCTTTGTGGAACCCTTACTTAGGAAAAGATCCCCAAATTGTGAAAACCCCAGGGTGTGGCCTCTTGAGGCCTCTTGGCTCTGTGTTGGCTAAACAGCCCCGGGGCCCCTTGGCCAGGTGTTGGGATGAGTCACAGCACAAGCAAGGTGCTGCTTTTGAGGGACTCTCAGCAGGTGCCACTTTGAGAGGCACACTGAGCAGGCCTTTCCAGACGGCCCCCATCCGGCCACCGGGCCCCCAGCAGAGGCTAGGGGAGCCATGGAGGGAAACTGGCAGTCAGGGGAGTCCCAGGCCAGGCAACTCAGCCCCCAAGGGAAGATAAGAAAGGAAAACCTACAAGTTAAGCCCCTGCTGGGGTGACAAGGTGACAGGACTTGTGTGGTTTGGTGGCTGCAGAAGGAAACAGCATCTCATGTTCATCACTTATTTGAAAAGCCTAGTCACTCCGGGAGCGCTAACACAGGGAACCTTCTGGATGCTTGTTGCATGGAGACAGAAGAGTGCAGAATGGGGTGGCCAGTCCCCCTGTTGTGTGGAAGAAGGGAGTATAACAGTGCTTGTGACTCCGTGGGGGAGGTGCAGGAGGGGCGCCGGAAGGAGTGGGCTGGGGTTCCCGTGGGGGGGCGGGGGTCTGACCTTTAAACCACAGAATGCATCGCCCATTTCCAGTGAAGTCCAGCCTGGAGACGCAGTCCCATCACCCGAGGGGCATGACCCTTCCTGCTCTCTCTACGCCACTAGCCATGGGCTGTGGGGCGCTCCCTGGTGTCTGCAAGCACGGCGGCTGAGGAGGGGTCTCCCTCTGCCTCCAGCTCCCCATGCCAGGCCACTTGGCAGCTGCCCCCCGCTGGGCCATCACCTCGCAGGCCGAGCAAACTGTGTCGCCCTTCCCACGGGCAGTTGCGAATTTAGACGTCCCGGAGTCCAGGCCAGGAGCTGGAAGGGCCTGGTGCTCCCGCCCTCTGAGGTCGGAGCCGCGCTGTGCTGCCTATGAGCCCCCACGCCCCATGGTGGGTCCCTCGAGGAGGCGGTGGGGGTGGGTTGCAGTGCAGAGAGGCTGCACTGGCGGGCTCCGAGGTCCACACTGGAGAGACGGGCAGGCAGAGTCAGGCCAACATGTCCCTGGTGGTTGGGGAGGGGGGTGAGGATTGGAGGGATGGCAGGCAGAGCTTTGGAAAGCTTTGTTCAACTCAGAGCTCCAGGCCTCAAGCCCCCGGCCCTGCTTAGCCTCTGCCCGGTGCAGAGATGGGGGTGAAGGCCCAGGCCTGGCCTACCCCACCTGCCCACCCCCCCGACACACACAAGCAAAGTCTGCTGGGACCCGGGTAGCACTTCCCCCGTCAGTGTCCTGGCCAACTGAGTCGGCTGGCAGAGCAACCCCGATTCTGCCCAGAAAGTGGCCAGGCCCACAGGCTAGTCCGCAGGGCCCCCAGTTGCACTGAGAAAGGCCTGGTGCTCTGTTCTCACACTCCCCTGGGCACCTTGGTCCCATAAGGCTGCCTGGCCATGTCACTCTCAGGGCAGGCAGAAAGCCTGAGGCCCAGCCAGGCTGGGCTCAGCTGACCTGGTCTCTGCACACCGCGTGAGGTGGGCCTCCCCCAACACACAGCTGGGCACAGGCTGGGCCCTCGCTGCGCCCCTGAGCTTCCCTAGTTGGGGGGGGCGGTTGGAGCAGAGTCCCTGCTGTAGCCCCCACCTCTCCTACCGATGCTGGGGATTGACACACAGACGGCCCTGCCGACGGTTCCCCAGGGCCGACCCCGTCGGGTCCCACGCCGCACCGGCCAAGCTGGGTGGGCGTCCTGTGCCCACAGAGCTGCTCCGATGGGGGCAGGTCGCCTCCCCAGAGCTGCAAGGAGGCCATGGCCAGGTCAGCCCCATGTCCTGTCCTAGCGGAAATGCCCCCGGTTTGTGGGTTCAGCTGCTGGGCCAAGACACACACCCGCTGAGACTGCACGACTGCTTCCTGCGGCCTTGCAGAGAGAGGGGCCTTGTGCTGCCTTCTGGAATCGAAGCTCTCCCCAGCTTCTGTGTCAGGCCCGGCGGCCCACCCTGAGCAGACCAGGGAGTGTGCCGAGAGAGCACCTCAGAGAAGGGTGTCCGTGGGCCGCCGCGCCGGGGCCGTTCTGTAGCCTCTGTCCCTCCAGCCACCATGGAGCACTGAGGTCACCTGGAAGTCCCCAGGCCTCCTGCAGCCTCGCCTCCCGCTTCCCAGCATCTCCTCCCTGTCTGTGCTCACTTGCCCACCTTGGCCTCCCACGCTTAGGCTGCAGCCCCCCCCCCCACTTCTGAGCCCATGCCCCCACTGGGACCCCGCATAGGGGGTGCAGACTGCACGCTGGGCTTGGGGCCCCCACTGCTCCTGGGCTGCAAAGGCGGTGGAGTCTCTGTCTATGCAAACGACCCCCCCCCCAGTCATTCCCACACCCGAGCAGGTGTGCATAGCTCCCCCCACTTCCCACTCTGCTGCGGTCAGGGTCCCGGCCATCCGCATGGAGGGGAGGCACAGCCCATGTGAAGTGAGAAGCAGGCTGCCTCCGGAGCGGGCCGGACGGCAGGCAGGACCTGGGGCCCCGGAGCCGTGCGGGCCCACATGGCTCAGCATGTGTCTGCTATGGCCTGAGGTTGGGGTGCCTCAGCCAGCTCTGCCTGCCTGCCAGGCAGGGATGGGGACAGGGGCTGGAGTGGCCGGACTCCCCTCGGGCCTCTCCTTAGGGGTGCCGCAGACGGAGGTGTGGGGATGGTGCCACGCATTCCTCTGTGGCAGGAGTCAGGGCAGGGAGGGCTGTCTGGTGAGGACCCATGTGGCCCCCCGCTGTCCTGAGAGGCCCCCCTGCTGGCTGTAGATGGTGGGCAACTTCCCACCCTCCCTGGCCTCCTTTACTCCCTCGGGCCCTTTGCAGGCGGGAGGGGTGGCGGGGCGGGGGGTGGGTATTGCTTGCAGAGGCTTCAAGAGCCAGCCCCGCTCCGCTCAGCATAGAGGCGCCTGCAGTCTGGGGCGCACTCTGCCCCCTGCCCTTCCCACAGGGTGAATGGGTCCCCGGAGGTCCTGGCAGCAGGCGGGTCTGGGGGGGATTGGGCCAGAGGCCCTCAGCCCCGCGCCAGCTTGGCCTACCAGACGGCTCCCTGCAGCCCTTGGGGCCTGCCCTGGGACCCAGCCCTGCGCCTTGCTTGCAGCACCCCCAGGGCCTGGCGCACACAGGGTCTCCTGAGGGCCATTGTCTTTGGATGAAGTGTGTTCTTTGTCTGGAAGTAGCCGTGAGGACTCAGCTCTCCGGGCCCTCCTGGCTGAGCTCGGGGCCCCAAGCCCCTGGGGCTGCTGAGCTCTGGGCAGGAGGCCTCGGGCTGTGAGGGATGCTGCGGAGGCTCCAAGGAGTCAGCCTGGGCCCGGGCCCCGTCGGGGTAAGGTGTGGCCTGAGGGGCGTCAGGTGGGCACGGAAGACCAGCCTGTGACCTGGGGATGGTCTAGACACATGCTGGGGCCCGGGCACCAGGGCTCTGGTCCCTCGGAGCCCACAGCCAGATGGCAGGGCGCAGACCCAGCTGCTAGCCTGGCATCCTGGGGTCTGAGTGCCCAGAGGAGCAGGGTCAGGGGCACACCCGCATCCTGGGCCCATGAGGTCACAGCACTGACTACACAGGAGAGCCTTGAGGGAGGCTGGGGCTCCTCCTCAGGCCACATGTTGGTCAGGCATGGAGCAGGACACGGGTCCCTCTTCTCGGCGCATAGGCTTTGACGGTCCTCTGGCGGGAAGAGCTCTGGCAGCACAGGAAGGGGCAGTCAGGGAGGGCTTCCTGGAGAAAGCCTTAACAGAGGCCCACAGCAAGAATGGGAGTGAGTGTGGGCAGGTGGGGGCTTTGGCGAGGTGGTCCCAGCTAAGGGGCCAGCAGGTGGAAGGCACAGGGCAGTGCCAGCACCACCAAGGGCTGTGGGCACAGGGGCGGGTGAGAGGGAGGCCAGGCTGAGGAACGTGGCGCTCTGTCCTCAGGGCGGGGACTGGCCTCGTCTGACCCATGTTCTAAAGAGAGTGGCCTCGCAGGATGCAGTGGGAATGAGGCATTGCAGGAAGGCGGCAGGAGGCCAGGAGAGGTCAGGGGCCAGGTTCAGGAGATGTCCAGGGAAAAGGGGACAAGCTCCGGTGCTTGCTGGAGGCGGGAGGGTGGGCAGGGCTGGTGACCCCCAGTCTGCAGTGTGCTCCCCCATGTGGCGTCCATCCCCAGTACGAGCAGGCTGAGGGGACCACTGGGCCTTCTGCTGAGGTTGGTAGGGGGGAGCCTGGGGGGTGCCGCTGGAGTCCCCTGACTCGCATCCACTCCTCCAGCCTAGCCCAAGGACAGCAACCTTCACACACTTCGGGGCCCCTGCCCTGGCCTAGGGTGTCGTAACCACCATCCGGGCCAGACACTGGGGCCAAGTTGCTGGAGGTTGAATCACTGTCACAACCCTAACCACACGCAGGCAGCCGCCCACTGCCAGCCACGAGAGCGTGCGCAAGGCCGGCCCGAGGAGCGCAGGCAAGGAGGACTAGAGGCGCCGTGGGGACCGCCCCGGCCCTCGCGTCCGGCCCCAGGAGGACAGGAGAGGAGCCGAGCTGCCGGCACGGAGCGTGATTTATACCTGACTCCCCGCTGTGCCGAGGCCGCAGCCCACTTGGAAGTCCGCCGGGCTTGACGTCAGGCTGCTTCCTAGGGCTCCCCTTTGGCCACCGGAAAAGGCCCCTGCCCAAGAGAAGCGGAGTTGCTTTGGAGTCGGGGTCCCAGCCAGCGCACGGGACGCCCTTCCTCAGCCCCAGGGGCCAGGCCAGCCAGGAGCAAGTGTGCAGAGCTGCACGGGGGCACTTTCAGGCCCAGAGTCTCTGGGCGGGAGCAGAACTTAGCGTCGAGCCTGCTGTGCATTCTCCCTTGAACCAGCATTCGCTAGGCCAGGCCCAGGGTGCCCAGGGGAGGCAGCGGCTCTCTGGTCCAGCGACAGGAGAAGCGAGCAGGCAGGCCTGGCTAGGGGACAAGGTGCAGGGAGGGGCCTAACCGGGACCCGGGGTGGAGAGTGTGCTGGGGAAGGGCTGTCCAGGGCAGGGCCCACTGGGGCCGAGCCCCGGGGACTGAGGAGTCTCAGGCGGCGGGTGACTCAAAGAGGCCTCCGTGAGCATGTGTGACGGGTGGCCTGGCCTGGGGACAGCGAGGTAGAGCAGGTCGGCCCCCGGGAGGAGCGGGGACACAAGGCTCGGGCTGGTGCCCCAGGAGTACAGCCAACATCAAGGGTTGAACCGGGGTCTGGCTGGGCCAATGACACTTTTGGGGGGATACTGACCCAGTCTCCCGGTAGATGCCAGAGCCTCTGCGGACGGCTTTCTAGGACCAGCGTCGCAGCTGTGTGACAAAGGGAGGCATCTGGGGCTCATGGCGGCTCACGGCGGCGGGCGAGCAGCTGAGCGGGGACCCGGTGTCCAGCTCTCCATTTGAGGATGCCCGAGCATCCGAGGAGAGCCGTCCACCCGGCTCCGCCTCCAGGGCTTCGAACCCAGCCCTCCCCCCGCCGTGTGCTGCGGGTAAAGCCAGAGCCCGGGACGCCCCCTCCACCGTGGCACCTTGTGGCCCTTGGCAGGTGGAACAGAACGGGGCTGGCCTCAGGAGCTGGACTCCGAGGAGGCTCTCTCTTTTTTTTTTTTTTTTTAAAGATTTTACTTATTTATTTGAGAGAGAGAGAGAGAATGAGAGAAAGCACAAGAGGGAAAGAGGGTCAGAGGGAGAAGCAGACTCCCTGCTGAGCAGGAAGCCCGATGCGGGACTCGATCCCAGGACTCCAGGATCATGACCTGAGCCGAAGGCAGTCGCTTAACCAACTGAGCCACCCAGGCGCCCAAGGAGGCTCTCTTGTCTCTAAGATGGGTCTTCTCCCCTCGGCCTCTCTGCGCCTGGGGCCATGGGCTGGCCCCTGCCCTGCGAATGGACCAGGGTGCAGCCCCAGCCGCCCGCTCAGAGCTGGACCCCTGGGATCCAGGAGGCTGGGTCGGCCCTGTGCCTCCAGCCCGCCCAAGACCCCGACTGTGGGGCCTCTGCCCTGGTGGGGAAGGGGGCCCACCTGGAGGCCTGGCGCCCAGCATGTGTCTGAGGGGCGATGCCCCGTGTCCCCGAGTGGGCTTTTACCTCTCTCTCTCGCCCTGGATGGAGCCCTTGGGCTGCCCCCTGCCAGCCAAAGAGATTCAGAGCCCCGAGCCCAGCCCTGCCGGCCCAGCCCTTGCCAGCACGGGACCCGCGCTGGCCCCCGATGGTGCGGGGTGCCAGGGTGCCCCTCTGCAGCAGCCGCCATCAGTCATGGAGGGTGTGCAGGGCAGGGCATCGTGGGGATGCCTCTTGGGAGCCAGGGTCACCCGCCACGTGGAGGGGGCCACTAGGGCCAGCACTGGCCCCCTCTCTGGCTGGAGCACGGCACAGGGGTGCGTGCCCCCACCCTGTCGGCCTGGCGCACTGGCCGCAGCCAGCACGTGGCCTGCCCCAAACTTAGCCCGGTGGGGTGGGGCTGGGTGGGCCAGGGAGCTCCGCCGGCCTTGAGCCTCGCCTGGTGCTTAGGCTGAGTGCCCGGTGCCGTGGAGTGAAGCTGATGGTGGGGACTCTCCAGCCCCGTGGGCAGGGCCAGCGTGCCCTGGCACCGGCCGAGGCTCTTTGCGGGTGGCTGCCCAAGAGCCCTGGGCGGAGCCCCGGAGCTTGCTCACACCCCGAAACTCAGTGCCTGGGGATGTGCTCTCCATGGTGACCTTTGCCTCAGAAGCATGGGGCAAGGATGAGTTCGATCAGCAGTCTGGGGCCTGGATGTCTGGGCTGCCGTGGAGATGGTCCGCCCCTGCTCCTAGCGGGCGGGGCCGCAAGACCCCTGCCAGCCAGGCCATGAGGCTGCGCCAGCTGCACCTTCGCCCCGGAAACCTTTGCTCCCCTCTGCAGCTCCAAGGGTGATTCAGCCCCACATAGGGGTGTGCAGGGATGCCCTCACCCCACAGCCTGAGGCTCTGAGCATTGGTCTGGGGCTCTTTGAGGCTGCCCCCCCGCCATCTGCCGGGGACAGACGCTTTTCTCCTGCTGATGCTCAGGGGTCTTCCCGGGCTCCCCTGGCCCCAGGAGCCTGCTCTGGCCGAGGGCAGATGTGGCGTGGGCTGCGGAGTAGCCCTAAGCTGGGTGCCTGGCCGTGGGCCGCAGGAGCCTCCCCCTGAGGGCGCGATCGGGAGAGAGGGGAGGTCTCGAGGTCCCAAGTTACGGCAGGGAAAGCCCGGCCTGGACAGCTGGGCCGGGCACGGCCCCCTCACCACCCACTTCCGGCCGTCCCGCCTCAGCCCGTGCAGGGGATTCGTGGGCCCCCCAAACCTTGCCCCGGGGAGCCCCGGCCAGACAGCCAGTCCTCACAGCTCATTGCAGCCTCCTCTGGAGCCGCAGGGGTGTGGTGGCCTGACCTGCACCGCCTGGCCGACCGCATCCACCTGGAGGAGCTGATCCGCATCGGCATCCTGAGCGGTAGCATTGACGCCATGAGCCAGGCCCACCTGGGAGCCGTGTTCATGCCTCACGGGCTCGGCCACTTCCTGGGCATTGACGTGCACGACGTGGGAGGCTACCCTGAGGTCAGTGTGGACACGTCAGCGTGAGTGGCCCTCCCCGGGGCGGGGCTCTGGGAGCCAGCTGGGCTGCAGTAGGACAAGCAAGAGGAGGAGGAATGGGGTCCCACAGGGTCCCCTGCTCCTCCTCGCCCTGCACCCATTGGTTGATCCTGGCCCCGGGGCCGCTGTGGGGGCTGGTGGGGTGGGGGGCTCCCTAGAGTGTGCCTCATCTGGTGGCCCCGGCCTGGGGCCTGGTGGCAGATGTGTGTGCTCTGCCTGGCGAGCCCCGGGCTGTGCACTGGGGGGAGCCCCTGCCCTGTGGGGTGGTAGATCTCCGGTCAGCGTGCAGTTCCCACAGAGCAGCAGGAACCTCAAAGCTGGGTCTAGTGACCGGGCTGGCACCGCCACCATGGTGTCCTCCTGCCTCTGGCTTCATGCAAGCCGGGGCGGTGAGGCACTGCCATAAGGCGGCTGACCTGGGTCCTTCCTGGGACTAGCAGAGCCCAGCGCCCCTCACAGGCCCAGCAGCAGCTCCAGCCCCCCGGGCCAGCACGCCACCATGGCCTCCTCGTCTGCAGGCCCTCCAGGCACGCTTAGCAGGGGAGGGAGGCTTCTGTGGGCATTTCCAGACAAGGCTTTCCCTCCCCTTCCTACCCACTGATTCCTGAAAGGACCACCCAGCGGGTGCTTGCAGCCAGCCTTGGGGAGGCCCTGCCCGGCAGGTGGCTGCAGCCTTTCCGGGCCCCGGGTGGGCGGGGGTGAGCCTGGCCCTGCCGCCTGGCCTGGCGCCCAAGGTGCAGGGGGCTGCTTATGCAATCATGCACGCCCTGGGGCCCACCAGCCAGTTAGCCAAGACTAGGCTGGGCCTGTTGGCTGCAGGGTATTTTGAAAGCACGAAGAATGATTTTGGGGGGGAAAAAATTGCTCAAGAGGAGCATTATTATTCAATTATTTTTTTTTCCTCAAGTGTAAACAGTTAAATTTGGAGAAACAAAATCAGTTTTAATTTCCTAATTTCTATCCATCACATTGTGTACAGGGAGCCAAGAGCAGGGCCTTCCAGACATTGTTAACTGAGGTTCGTTATTCATTAGTCGCCAGAGCGCTTTTTTTCCACCAGAGAAAATTGGCAGCAAACTGTTTTATCTTTTCCAGTAAGCAGCCCTTTGTGCTCACAGAGTCTATTCTTTTGACAGATAAACATTGTAGAAAAAAATATGGCTTTTCCTATAAAAGTCATTTGTTTTATTTCAGGCCTCCAGACACATCTGGGTCTCCTCTGCTCAGAGCCCAGTAAAAGTGGAGGCCCTGTCCGGCCTGCTGCCCTGGCGGAAGGTCTCAGGGTTGGAGGGGCGGGGGGCTCGGCCTCTCCCCTTTTGCGGGGGGGGGGGCCTGCTCTCCACTGCCCAGCCCCCATGCTTCGCCCAGGCCTGCTCGGGCAGTGCCCGCGGTGGGAGACTCCTGGGAGCTAATGCTCTGAAGGGATAAAGGTCGGGGGGTCGTGGCAGGGCCCCCTCCCGCCCTCCCCTCAGCCACAGTTGGATGGGCGGTCCTGAAATTTTCCGGAGGGCTTGTCTCTATACAAGCCTGAGCAGACCGGCCTCCCCTGGGCGCGCCCATGGAGTGGCCCGAGGTGGGCCCACAGTGACTGAGGGGGAACAGGGAGACCTGACTGCACCCGTTTGCTGCCTCTGCTGGGCCCCTGGCTTTGACAGCCTTGGAGTGGAGGGAAAGGGACAGGCACCGAGCGGGTAGCACGAAGGTAAGGGACAGGGAGGGCGTGTCCAGGGCAGGCACGGAGTGGAGATGGCCGAAGGCCACCGGCCAGCCCCACAAGCACCTCTCATCCGAGCACGGGGCTGCGTCCCTGGCCCTCCTGCCTAGTCCCTCTGGGCAGAAAGTGGCACAGGGTCGGGTGCTACTCCAGAGGGGCATCTGTGCCCAAAGCGTGAGCCCTCAGGGGTCACAGTGTCCCCTCCTCCCCTCTGCCCCAGCCTGACTCAGCCAGGTCGGGGTGGCCATGCACAAGCTTCTCCGCGTGCCCTGCTGTCCCCCCCTCCTGGAAGCCCCGTCACAGGCTTCCCTGATGTGCCCGGCCGTGGAGGCCGAGCCAGCCTGTTTCTGGTTACCTTACATGAACCACTAATTGAAGTCTGATGTTCTTGGCCCCCAAACAGTCAGAAATGACAGCTCCATCTCCAGCAGCCGGGCTTCCAGGCGAGAGCTGCGAGCGGGGCAGGGCAGGCTCAGAGCCCGACCAGAAAGCCTGTTCACTGCCCGCCCATGCTCGCGGGCCAGGGCGGGGGCCGGGTGGCGGCTTCGGGGACCCAGGGAGACAGGTGTTGGTGATGCCGTGTGAATCGAGGGGCCCGGGCCAGGTGGGCATTCGGGGGGAGAGGGTGCCTCTGCAGGGAGCACGCCGCCACTGTCGCCTGCTCTGTGAGGGCGGGGGCCGGCCCCCCACGTGTGCTCCTCTGGGGCCACGCCCCAGGTTCCACGCGCGTGCGCGTTCGTGCGTGTGCACAGCAGCGTCACGCCTGTCCTGGGGACAGCACCTGTTCCTCCTCCTGGAAGGCCCCACGGAAAACCTGGGTCCTGGCCTGGGGGAGCGGGGCCCCGCGCTTCTGGGGCTGGTTTCCACTCCAGCTGCCTGGAAGACACGATGCAGCGCAGGAAGCCTCGCAGCGTCTTAAGAGCTTTTTTGGCTTCCCGAGTTTGGCTTCTGCCGCCCTGTCTGGCAGGGACAGGGCCTGGGTGAGGGCGGCCGGCTCGGGCAGCTCGCCCCGCGGGCGTGCACATAGGTGTCCACAGGGTTCCCACAGGCAGTGCGGGGGCTAACGAGGGGCAGGAACCGGCCAAGTCTGGGGGTGTCTGCAGAGAGTGGAGGGTCTCATCCGAAGTGCCCGTGGCAGCTCCAGTGAGAGCAGGGAGGGCTCAGCAGGTGGGCCTTAGGGGCCATCTGGCTGCCGCCACAGCGGGGACCCTCCATCCGTGCCAGCGCTGGGGTCCTCCGGGCCCTTCCTCTCCTCACAGGGCGTGGAACGCATCGATGAGCCCGGCCTGCGGAACCTGCGTACCACGCGGCACCTGGAGCCGGGCATGGTGCTCACCGTGGAGCCGGGCATTTACTTCATCGACCACCTCCTGGACGAGGCCCTGGCCGACCCAGCCTGTGCCTGCTTCTTCAACCGCGAGGTCCTGCAGCGCTTCCGGGGATTCGGGGGGGTGAGTGCCCACAGGCCCCGCATCCGAGCCCCCTGGACACCCACACGCGCACACTGCAGCGCATCACCCCTTTGTCTCAAGACAGGAGCCCTAGTGGAGGTGGGGATGATCTTCACTTCCTCCCTTGAGAAGGACCCGGCATGTGCCTTCTCATGGTCTGTCGCAGACCGGTGCCTCGCTCAACAAGACAGATGCAGATTTTACAAAACCCCTGCCCACTCCGGGGCCCCTGTCCCCTGGGCAAGGGGCAAGGACTGGGTGGGCAGGTGGCAGGAGCAGATGGCCCCATGGGAGGAGGCTTCGTCTCAACAGCCTCCCACGGAGGCCTGGAGGCCAGCCCCTTCCATCACAGGCAAGATAGACCGTTCCTTAGAAGGGGCTCCCCCAACCCAGCGGCTGGTCTGAGCCTCTAATCTGGTGCGTGAGGCCAACTCAGAAATAGTGTCTGTCATTCTTTTTTTCCCAGAGTTTTTCTTTTTTAGATTTATTTGCGAGCATGCGTGTGCACACTCACGCGCCCAAGTAGGGTGGAGGGGCAGGGGGAGAGAGAGAGAGAGAATCTCAACAGACTCCCTGTTGAGCGTGGAGCCCGACATGGGGCTCAATCCCAGGACCCGTGAGATTATGACCTGAGCCGACACCCAAGAGTCGGATGCTCACCCACTGAGCCACCCAGGCGCCCCCATGAGTGTCTGTCATTGTGATGCAGGTCCGGATCGAGGAGGACGTCGTGGTGACTGCTAGTGGCATGGAACTGCTCACCTGTGTGCCCCGCACGGTGGAGGAGATCGAAGCGTGCATGGCAGGCAGTGACAAGGCCTTTACTCCCTTCTCTGGCCCCAAGTAGAGCCAGCTGGGAGTGCCCAGTGGGACCAGGGACCCAGCCTGGCCACCTATCTTCACGATGAGCAGCCTCCTGCCTGGCCCTCGAGAAGTGAGAGATGGGTGCTCAGAAATCCCATGGCTGCGTCCATGTTTGAGCTTGTGGTTTCCTCGGGGGGCGGGGGGGGGGTCCTCTTTCTTAACCTTCTGCAAGATCACACCTGAATCTGCTCTTACTCTGCTTGAATGACAGTGGCTTTTAAAGTGCTAATGGAAAAGAATTCTCCTTAATAGCGACTAAAATGTGTCTTGTTGTCATTTGCATTCTTCTGCTCTGGGAAGATCCATTTCCAGTGTTTCCTCTCAAAAATCAATGTGCAGAGTCGAATTTGCAATAAAAAGTTTCCCAAAATGGTCCTTTGTGCACGGCTTCCTCTCTGTTCTTTCTCGCTCGGCAGTGGAGCCTGGCACGCACGGACCTAGAAGCTGACGGGGCAGAGAGCCGGCACAGGCGTGGAGCCACGCTGCACGGGCCTTTGCACATGAAAAGGTGAACTGCTAGAGGAAGAAGCCTTTTCTAGGATGGGGCTACTGCCTCAAAGCTAGATTTCTGAAGGGGGCAGAATTTTTATGCAGCACTTAAGGCATAGTTCTATAAAATGTGAGACTTGCAGGGATGCCTTGTCCTTGATGCCCTTTTCATAGCAAAGCTGGCATCCACCTGAGCGACACGGCCACCTAGGGCAGCTCCGTGGTAGAGGTGAGCCTTCTAGTGGCTTCCGTTTGCTGAGACCATTTGTCTTCCCTAAGTGTGAACCCACGGACCAAGCTCCACTCAGGCAGGGAGTGTTCTGGGGCCAGCTGGGCCTGGTCCCCGCCGAATGCACAATGCCGTCCTCCCCTCTGCTGGCCCAGCCCCCCACCCCCCACCCCATCCCGCAGCCCTGCCCCCGCCAGGAGTGGGGGAGCTCGGTGAGAAACCGCTCTGGGCCTGTCTCTCCACAGCCCTCCCATCCAGGACTTTCCGGGCCAAGGTGAAGGGACACCAGAGATGAAACCACGATGGGGTGAGAAACTCTAGCCCAAACTAGACATTTTGAGAAGTCACTGAAGCGTTGAGGCCAAACCGATTTCTTCCTGCGGCAGTAACACAAAAGTGCTTGCAAAGTGACCACATTAAAATGAGACCACCTCGGTTCCAGATCACAGTTTACCTGGTTTGCTCCTCAGATCGATCACACCCATTTTTTCAGGTTTGCTCCAGTGCTCAGGCGGTCCCTAAGTTATTTGTGACCTTGAGCGGTTTGCAGTGATGGACTTGAGTGTCAGGAGTCTCCATTCACCAATGTTTCTCTGCCCCGGCTGCACCTGCGGGGGACACGTCCTGGCGTCCGGGGTTTCAGCTGCCCCCGCCCCCGGATAAACCCGGGTACAGTGAGGCTAGCGCTCTAAATGGACAGTTTCGTTTGTGTTAAGAAACGCAGCTGGCTGTTATCACATCTTTCTCCTTCCTTTCCTTCAGACGCCTCATACCAAAACTGCCCGTTTCACGTACATTTTCTGTGATTACCAAGCAAGAAGGTCAAAAGAATAAGGGGAAATCCCGTTAACTACATGTTCTTTGTCACAGGGGGGCACTGGGAGCGTAGGTCTGACTGGTCTCGCCCCGGGGCGGTGAGTCAGGACACCCTCCGGCGGTGTGGGGCCCTGGTGGCCGCCAGAGCCCACTCTACCCCGTGGTCCAGAGGGTGCACCCAACTCCTCATGCCTCCAGACCTCTGCAGAAATGCACACAGCTTCAGAAACACCTGAGAGACCCTTCCAGAAAGCGGAACAGCACTCAAAAAGCCTTTCTGAAACCCTGGAAGGGTCTGGGCATTCATTCAGTAAGGAACTGAGCAGATACTCTGTGCTGGTACACTATAAAACCACCACCCCTGCTCTCCGAGCCTCGGGGGTCCTGAGAGGCTTCGCCTTGAACAAGCAAGCACAAATCTCTTCACCGAAAAGTGCCGTGAAGGAAAGGCTGACCTTGTCTAGAAAGCCAGGGGGCTGAGACAGGAGTGGAAGGGAAAAGCGAGACAAGATGAGGCACCCAGACGTGAGCTGTTCAAAGGCGGCCTGCAGTAAAACGAGCCGGGAGAAGCCCTGCAGCCAAAGCAAAGTAATGGGGGACAGAGGACGAAGGGAAAGCAAGGCCACAGATGAGGGGAGCCACGTCACAAGGAGACGGGGTCTCCCTCTGGGTGCAGTGGGGAATGACAGAAGGTTCTGGAGAGCAGGCAGTGGTCCAAGGAGACCAAGTCCGGGCAAGAGAGGACGATGGTTCTGTGTGGTGAGGGAGGGAGGGGAGCACATTTAGGGGGTAGAAGGGAAAGGTGGCAGAGCGGGAAGGCCTGGCCAGATGTAGTCATTTGGGCGACACGGAAAGTACAACAGGCCCGTTCGCTTCCAAGCCCAATTCTGCACCCCGGACCCTGCAGGCACTGCCGCATACCTTCCAGGCCCAGAGTTGTGCGAGGAGTGTGCGTGGCAGTACGAGACTATTCGGGTTTGGCGGTCTCCTTCAAGGACACGTACAACGCACACGGACTCTAGATACTCCCAGGCAGTGACAGAGCAGGTCCAAAGGTGCTTTTATTGAAAAAAAAAAGCTGGCACCTTCACAAATCATCTCTATATAAAATTCCCCAAGACAAACTATTTATGGGCTCCCAAATTACAACTACTTTGTAAAAACCAAATAGGATGCACTACCCACAGAAATAATTACTGCACTACGATTGTCATTAAAATGCAGTAAGTAGAAACCTATTTCCCAAGACATGAAAAAAGCTGACAGATCACAGAAGAGTCTCTAAATGACATCTTCCCTTGAAACACTCCAATCAGCATGGATTCAGTATTGCCTCGTTCATCTGCAGAGACGCCCTACAGCATCACGTCAATGAAGAGGAGGCACACGCTATAAACTGTGCTGCTAGGGGAAAGGCCTTACTTCGACCTTCCCGAGGCCTCAAAGCCTCAAGGACTCATCTCTCCTACCACCGTGGGACTGGAAACCACACACTGAGCCACGAGGCGCCTGAGCAGGCGAGCCCACTGCTGCCTTCTCCGCCCTCGTCCGCATTCCCGGGTTAGACCACGTGACAACGAACAGCACTGAAGAGGCCCTCTATATTCAGAGGAAATGACGTTCCCATCCATTCAGGGAAATCTAGGCTTGGACAAAAGCACCTCCTGCCCCCCACCCTCAGCGACCCTCACCCCTGCCCTGGGCTGGGACAGCAGGGGAGATGGCCGACCATCTGCCTGCTCTTCAGAGCTCTTGCACATCTGGACTACTGCCTCAGGATACGAACAGAAAGAAACCCACAAGGAAATACAGTCATTATTCCAATGTTTTTTATTTCAAATTCATTGAAAGAAATAAAATTATATTAAAAAAATAGAGTAATCTCACAAACTGAGGAAAGCCAGGAACAAAAAGAACAAGGTAAGGACTTTTTCCTGAGAGGCATCTCTAACAGCTATTAGAATGGACTTTCTCCTCCCTAGCTTTTGTCAAACAAAAAATTGCTTCCTATTTCTAAGGCATCAAAAAGCACTCTGAGTGCTAACTGGGTTGTCCAGGTATGTTTCAAGCCCTCTAATGGCGGCTGAGAAACACCAAAGGCTGATTTCTTTTAATACCAAATACTAAATTGCACATACTACTTTTTTATGTAAATTTCAGAATTTCATACTTGTGACCTAAATTTCAAACATCTGGTCATATTTTATCACTACCTTACTACCTCTTAGTAAGAATGTCCAAAGTATCTGAGCTCACATTCCAGTCACCGCAAGGGGCCAGACGGTAGAAGAGCTGCTCTGATCTCCCCACGTGCTGCCAACCCCATCCACAAAGCACCCATCTCGGATGACTCAGAGGCAGCTAGACGTTTTCACTAAAGCCTACTCCTAAACCACTGGACCTGCCGGCAAAGGCAGATCAAACCCTAACGGTGCATACGTAACCTACAGAAGTTACAAAAGTCATCTTACAATTCCCAGAGCTCTAAACTTACCCATTCCCCATACTTGGTTTCCCTCAATTTGATACTGATAAATCTATCAAACTGCCAACTTTCATTCCCAAACACTTCAGTAAGACAGTCAAGACAATGGTTAACATTTTTGTTCTACGCATACATGACGGCTTGTGCTAAAGTTCCGATTTGCATAGGTAACAGGAAAGCTTGAATCAATTTTTCAAGTTTCAATCTTATGTTTGGATTTGAAGTATCGAGCGCACACCCCTGATGATTTCCCTAAAGCTTCTTCTCCAAGACAGTTAAGTCAGTTTATATAATTGGTAACCATAAATTCCATAGGGACATCAATTTCTGAAAGACATTTTTTTTTAGTAAACAAGAGATTATAATGTCTAACACCTTTATAGGCGCTTAACGATTCAAGTGACCTAACTGTACCTCTAAATAGGTTAATTATATAACATCAATCAGCTATGAAAGGTTCAGTAGGATTCTGCGGGTTACCTCCTAGTCAGTCAAAACACTTATCAACCTAGAAATAGACTGATACTCCAGCCAAAGTAAACCGGTATCAGACCCTAACAGAAACCTCGATCCTGTCTCCTGGCTCTCTGGGGAGCTAACCCTCCTGGGACAGTGGCTCTCATGGAACAACACTGGGTTCCAGTCACCAAGGCCCAGAGGCTTTGATGAGTTGCAGGTCACGGTGGTATTTTTACCTGCCCAGACCGCACTTTTGCACCAACCCAAGGGTGCTACTTGAGTCCCATCCTGGTTACACTGTTCCAGGTGCTAGTAAGAAACAATATGGCCAACAACTAAGTGACCATGTTCAAATAAGATACCTGGTAACACAAACTTTTTAATCAGATGTGACTCAGTCTCTTGTCACCAGCCTAGACACACACACACAGAAATACACGAAAGCCAAAAAATCTGAGCTAGGATTGTGCTAAAAAAAAAGAAATCAACAAGGACAATCAAAACCACCAACACTGATATAAACCAGACCCTAGCGATCCCCGACTTTAGCGACTGCCATTTTTTAGTCTCAACAAAAATGTCAATATCCTGAGTTTTATCAGTATTTTCTTTCTAAAATAATTTATGGGACACAAAAGCATACAAATGAACAAACAGAAGCAGTGGTACAAAAGTCTAGAAGAGCCCACTAACTAGAAAAAGAAACGTCACAAAAACAATATAAAAAGATGTATTTAAGTGAAATAAATTAAAGGTTAAACCTTACACTTTCAAGTTTTCTTAGACTGTTATTTTGGGAGACAGCAGAGAGTTGATGACGTATTTTTCTAATAATGACTTGGTTAAGATCAAATGCCAGATGATCCTTCACAAGAAATTTTTGCCTTTAATAATCATGGCCCCACTGAAGATATCTGGACACAGGAGAAACTACCTAAATCCCAATCGGTCAACTGTTAAGGCATCTGTCTACTAACTTGGCTGTCAAAATGGTATTTTAAAAATATTTACTTACTTGACCAGCATCTACAGAAACAAAAATTGTAGTTTACAGATACAAGTTTCTCTAAACTCTTGGGGGTTTTTTGTTGTTAGAAAACAAAGTAATGCCAATCCAATAACCCAAAGGTATCCTGAAAGCATAATTCTAATATGCTTTACTTTTGTTTTTAAGAAACCTATTTGCCTCCTAATCATTAGTATTTTCAAGCCACTGGCTGTATATTGCCTTTAAAACATAATGGAATTTACTTAACCTGGCACCGCTACTCAAAAACTTATACTTGTTAGGGGAGAACAGTACTAATTAGGCTAAAACAAGGTTTATGTTATACATAAAATCACTCCAAATTACAAAGTGATTGATTTCTATAGCCCTAAGGATTTTTAATACATAATTTAGAAAAAAAAACACAAACAGATTAACATAGATGGCATTCAACTTCTCTTAGTCTAATTAACCATCTCCAATAAAACCAAGACCCTTCTGCGGGACCTGCCAGTTCCCCATTCCTTTTATCAACCTACAAAAGAAGCATTTCTTGGGAAGTGAGGATTTATTAAGAATATCAAGGTCCAGGGCTTTTTTTTTTTTTTACCATATACCTTAAAAATTTGTTTCATCCCCACAAAAAAATCCATATCATTTAAAACTAGATCCTCAAATTACATGGCTAACATTCTTAGCTAATCAACTCTTCAGCGCTGATTCTAGAAAACAACCTTCAGTGGGTCTCCGAATAATGGGACAAGGTTCGGCCATCGATACGAGTGATGTACGCAGTCACACCTTTAACGTTCAAGCCACAGGGCGTGAGGTTTGGGAGGGGTGAGGTCTACTGCCCTGCGTTGTCAGAAGTCGTATTCTCAGTGCTAGCGGGTGGCACATTATCCGCAAGGTTGTGTGCGTGCTCAAGAAACAAATCTTTCAATACGCTTAATTCCTTAGTCAGCAATTTAATTTTTGCTTCCAACCGTTCATTCTCTTCTTTGAGCTGGTTCACTCTCTGCAGCGTGTCCTGTGCTTTCTGCTTGCTTTTCAACCGGCTCTTTTTCACAGCCATGTTGTTCCTCTCTCTGCGCTGACGATACTCATCGCTGTTGCGATCCATGGGCGAGCTCTTTTTGCTTTGCTTGCTTGGGGCCACAGCCTTGCCTCCTCCCCCGGGGCCAGCAGGCACCAGCTGAGGAACCTGCTGTAAGCCGCCGGCAGGAGCCTGAGTATGAATAACACTTATTCCCGGAGCACTATTCTGCTGGGCTATCTTGCTCATTTGGGCGCTGTCTCTTGCTGACACAGAACAGGCAGAAATGAGGGCAAGGTGATCAATGGTTTCCACACTAAGCTGCCAAGAAATCTTCACATGCACCTAGTTAAAAAATAAATTGCATTAAAATGTTTGAAATGACAAGATCAAATGAGATTAAACTTGCATGTACCTAACAGCAGGCCGACATTAATTGATTATGCGGAGAAAAGTCTACAGCAACTGCCAACTGTTCCAATGTTTCAGAAGTCTAAATCATTTAATTTAGAAAGGTAAGTTAGTACAGGAGCACCATAAGGCCAAATTCAGCCCACCTGCATCCCTGAGGGTACTGCCCGTCTGTGATTGTTATCAAAAATGGAAGGAAAAACAAAAGAATACTGCTAATTAGGTAGCAGAGAGGAATAGCACTTGGCAATCTGCCAGAGAGAAATTTGAGCTGTTTGGGTGAAACACACAAAACCTAAGTTCAATTATGATAGAAGAGACACCTGCAAAGAAAGGGGGACAAAGTTTCAATTGTTGGCTCAGGTCAAAACAATCCTGCGGCAGAGTGCCCGATCTCCACGACCATCAGGATCACTGCATGCTCCTTACACCAATATGCAGAGACCTAAGTCACCAAGGACTTGACTTTTCTCCCGGAGTACATCTTTATGGAATATTCTGAAAAGACTTCTTTGGGGGGGGGGGGCTTTTGTTTTGTTTTGTTTTTAATGACCTCAAAGATAATAGTTTACATAGATTTCCTAAGTTAGCTTCTTGGATCAGAGATTTAGGAGCTCTGGGACCTCCAGTGTGCTGCCTCACCCCACCAGGCTGCTTCTAACAGTGGGTTTTTTTTTTTCCTTCTTGACATAATTTATAAACACATCTCAACACAGGCAACCTGAAACCACAAGGAAAGAAACAAAAGCCTTAATGATGCACCCAAGGAAGAGCAAGTATAGGGCTGAGGCTAGACAGAAAGACCGCGCCGGCACCCACTTGACAAGGGAGACGCGGCTCAGGGGGAATGCCAACTCTCGAGTGTTCCTGCACTGCTGCCCGTAGAAATGAAGCCACAGTTTCAGAAACTAGTCATGCTTGGATTTTACTATCAATCCAACTAGGTCATTACAGCTGCCTCAAGATGTGTCAAAAGCATACCTATCCGATCATGAGGCCACTTCAAGACAAACTGACTCAGCGAATGAGCCATGTCCACCACGAAATCATAGCACTCTTGGAAATTGAGAAAGCAGTGTTATGGTTCATAACCATCTAACTATCCTGTTCTCTTTTCACAAAACTGCTAAACCTACATCAGTGGATAAAACCTGGAGCCAGAATTATGATGCCTCAAATGAGTACATCTCACAACTCTTAAGAAAAACTCAGTAAACACCAGTAGCTTCACCCAAACCTTTAGCCAGGTCTGCTTTTAAAAAATCTTTCCTTTTGGGGCGCCTGGGTGGCTCAGATGGTTAAGCGTCTGCCTTCGGCTCAGGTCAGGATCCCAGGGTCCTGGGATCGAGTCCCGCATCGGGCTCCCTGCTCCTTGGGAGCCTGCTTCTCTCTCTCTCTCTCTCTCTCTGGCTCTCATGAATAAATAAATAAAATCTTTAAAAAAAAAAAAAAACTTTCCTTTTAAAAAGTCCGTATTATCATTACTTTCAATTGTTTTCAAAGCCATGCATGCAGCCCTGAGTTAGTGGGTCATCTGTTCTCACTCCAAAAGTACAGCAAAAGAGAAAGCTTCCTTCCAAACCATGGATGGATATCTACACAGAGTCTATCTTCAATAATGGACATTTCACAAAATCCCTGGATAATTTATTATGTTGCCTATTTTTTCTTCCAGTTAAACAGTGGCAGTTCAGTATTAACTTGGGCCACCTTACCACTAATAGTGGCCACCTACATTATTGCTTATTTATTTGGTGTAAAGTGAGCATAAGAATTTTAGTCGACTTTTAAAAACTTTAACACTTCTCCGGAGATTATCTCAACTATCATGATCACGGTCATCTTATTTAACTTTTTAAATTTTTCATACACCAATTATGGTTTTAACCTTTAAAGCTAATCAATCTCTAGAGACAGCTCAAAGAGAACAATGATCCAAAAAGCACAGAGCAGGAACCAGGTCAATTCTTGTCTTGGCTCTGGCTCCCCCGGTTTTGCTCTGGACCTATCTCTTCCCCTCTTTGGGCCTCGATTTCCCCATCTGCAAATGAGGGATATAGAATGGTAAGATGCCTTCAGACTCTGAAAATACACCACGAACTTCAGTCACTAAAAACTCTTTTCTACCCCTTTATGCTTTGCTTTTTATTCCCAAGTCACTAAAAACTTTTAATACAGGCTCCAAATTCAGTGATGTTCATGCCCATTTTTGTACCCGAAGATATGGGAATGGGGAAGAGCTCTTTTACCTCGGCCTGACTCATTCTGGTAGGGTACTAGAGTAGGGGGGACTTTGAAGATGTACTCATTGCTTGAAAAACAAAGAAACTATCAAATTGGTAAAAATGTAAGCAAGGACACTTGGAAATAATAAAAATAATTCAAAAATGTTTTTTTTTTTTTTTTAAGTTCCTCAACCAAAGCCAAGGAAGTAAGTTTTAAGTGAAAAAATATCCATTAAGGAGAGTAAACCAAGTAAAGGGGGGGGGGTCAAAGGGCCAAATGGTCCAAGAGAGTTAACTCCAGATTATCAATTGTGTTTTTACACAAGCAAAATAGCTGCCTCCAAAGTTACACATTTCACAGTTTCCACTGTCATTTATGCTTTTGTTCCTTCCACAAACACTTACTGAGCACCTACAATGGGGAAAAAATTAGTTTATTTCAAATCTGGATATTCAACCCTAAATGAAAGACTGGCTCCTATGAGGACAAATACTATTCCAAAGTTCATTCCACAGGAAGCAGGGTGGTGCCTCGTTTCCTTAGATGTGAATCATTCAGGCAGGGAACAGGAAAAAAACTGAAGAGCAGTAGTTCTCAAAGTGTGGTCCCTGGACCAGCAGCAGCATCATTTGGTAACTTGTCAGAAATGCAAATTCTCAGGCTACCCCGGACATAAGAATCAGGAGCTCTAGGAATAGGGCTGAGCAGTCTTATTTCAGAGGGACCTCCAAGTGATTCTGTTGACACTGAGGTTTGAGAGCCAATGCTGCAGATTAACAATGGATCTTAAGAAAGATGGTCTGAGTAAATTTTTTTAAAATTCAAATTTCTTAATTCAAGTAGTGTTCATTCAAATCAGTAACACACTGAAAACTCAGAAAGGTTAGAATGAATAAAACAAATTTCTCTTAAGTTTCATTCGGGAAAGTAAACTTGTTAAGAATTTTCCCAATCCTCCTGTCACTTTTTTTTCCACGTTATATACAACCAAATATTCCTCCCCATGCTCCCCAAAATAAAATTTTTTTAAAAAAAGATTTTATTCATTTGAGAGAGAGAGAGCACAGACAGGCAGAGTGGCAGGCAGAGGGAGAGGGAGAAGCAGGCTCTCCGCCAAACACGGAGCCCGACGTGGGGCTCGATCCCAGGACCCTGGGATCATGACCTGAGCCGTAGGCAGACACTTAACCGGCTGAGCCACCCAGGCGCCCCCCACAAAATAAATTCTTAACTCATATTTCCTCAGTGAGCATCTACACTCCAAAATATTCACAGATGTTTCTCCGTTACTCCCAATCTGTACACCCACCCACCTCCCAAAAGAACTTACAACCACCATCCCTCTCCATCCTACCACCACAGAATTACCTCAGGCTGCCATCATCTCCCCGGGGGGCACTCATCCTCCTGGTTTAGCAGTGCACCCTCCAACCACTGTCGCCAGACCAATGGAGCACGCAAACCTGCGCTAGTGTCCAGCATCAAACTGAAGGTATTCACTCTCTCTCCAGCCCTTGCTCCCTTATGCTTCACACCTCAATAATACCGAACCACTACCAATCCCCTAAATGGTCACGCTTTCTCTTTTCTTTGTGTGGCTGTCCAATTTGTTCCCCTAGTTTCTCTGTCAATGCCAGTTCTATATTGTGGCTCCCTGTAGACTAAGCTAGAGGCAGGACTCTGTCTTCATATCCATACGCCCAGCATCTAGTGCAGGGCTAGCCATAGAGTGGTGGTGCTGGAGAAATATTTGTCCAATACTGGCTCACAGGCTAAGAGAAAACATTTATTTTTATAAATGTCCTATAGAGAAATGATATTCTCTAGCATTAACATCTCTTAAAACAACCACAATTAAATCAAGAGTGTTAGGAAGATATTATAGTCTTCCAACCCTAAGCTCTTGGTCTTTCTTAAAGGCGTACAGGAAAATAAAAATACAATTCCACTTGATACTTCGAGTGCCCAGTCTATACAATGAACATTTCTTGTCTGGTCTTTTCTTCGTCTCAGTTAAGAACCTTTATTTTCTATTTAGCCAGTTATGTGTTCCAATGAATAACCTCAAGTTCTTAGGAATGTTTTGCCAGGGTCTGACAACTCTGTACTATACGTGATGTCAAGGTAAGCAAAGTCAATACATACCCAAATGAGCAGGATTTCTATTTAGTTGCCACTGCTTGCTTCATGACCCAACACGGGGGTCCATGAAGAAGGGTACCTCCCTTTGGGGAGTACATGAGTGGTCCACTGGAGTATGGAGAAAATGTACATTCGTCTGTCTTGTTTAACATCATCTTTTTAATTTTCCTTTGGTAGGATTTACAACATACAAAAATAAAACAGTACACACGTTGTTTATAAATATACGTCTATTAGGAAATCATACTCAAAAAAAAATTTTAACTGATAGGGCTGGAAAGCCAAAAAGGCAGGAGACCAATGTACCTACAAGAACCGGTAGAAGCACTCACTCCCAAGAATATACAATATACTTGGAATTGTGGCTACCCACATTTACCATTACTGTGATCAGGTGAGGCAATCCTAGACCATAAGACCAAATTCAGCCCCATGAGGTCCTATTTGTCTTTACCAGGGACTCACCATGTGCTGTTTAAATCCCTACAGAAGAAACCACCTCTCCAAGATCAGACAACTGCTAACAGTCATGTTATGCTCTGGAGAACTTAAAAGATATTCTGAAAAAATGAAATTTTGTTTCCTCCTGTTTTTCAGACAGGTATTAAAAATGACTGAATCAGCCAAGTGCACCCACCAGAAGCAGGAATCAAGAAATCAAAAAATTCTTCAGCTCACTGGCATCCTGTAATTACTGAGCCTTGTTTATAGTAAGTTTTCCCAGAAACAGACTCCACTTTAAGAATAGCTCATCCCCCATACTGATCAAGTGGTAATAGCTGACCAGATTTTAACTTTTCAGTATCAAGAACTTTAAGATGCAGAATTTCTTAGTCAAGCAAGCCCTTACAGTATTTTCTTTCCGAAATTTATTTGGGAGTCGCGTTATCCTATCTGAATTTAAGGGCAATCTCTTCACGTAAGGATTCGCCGAGTGTAGGCTCAGAAAGAGAACTACCAATTTTTGTGTAACCCACTAACCTGAAAACCTTTCTGAAACTGACACGTTTTAAGGTGCCAGATTACAACTTGAACCTCAGACACCAGGCCAACCAAACAATCAAACCTTCTGACGAATAAAAACATACAAGCCCCCGTGGGAGAACAGATGATCCTTCCCCCTCAAACATGCATCTCCATCCTCTTCATCTAGCCCTCTCTGCTAGCTATTTTCCTGACTATGTTCGCTGCGACAGGCTATCGAAGCGCTCCGTTTCCGGCCCTTCTCTTTCCTATTCCACTTGTGGTAGCTGCACGTTCATCCAGCTTCGTTCAGCGGTCAAGTGCAGGATATTCAAATTACAGCTCCGTAAGTAAGCACGGGATTAGCTCTGTAAAGTCACGGACTTAAACATCAACTCCTTTCGCTGCCCACTTGAACGCTCTACTAACTTCGGAACCGAAGTCTCGCCTCCCCTCACCGAGCGGTCTTGGAGGGGCGGGCAAGATCCGATGTGGCACTACAGTAAGGGACGGTCCACCTACCGCTGTTCTGGGGAACACCCTGTATCCCCAGGGGCCAATACGCGCCTAGCCTGTCACCACCGCCCGCTTCTCCAACAGAGGCCGGGTGCCGGAGGGGGCACACCTCGTCCCCCGCCCCGCCCCGTCCCGGGCCGACGGCGAGGGGCGCCCGGGCAGAACGCGGGGGTCTGCGGGTGGCGCCGCGGCGCTGGGCCGCGGCCAGGGATGAGCTCAGCGGCCCCGCCGGGTGTTGCCAGCAGGTTGCATCAGACGCCGCGCGGGGCCGCCGCCCGCGCCGCGGGCCGCGCGGGGCCTTCCCGGCCAGCCGGCCGCCTCAGGCCGGGCCGGGTCTTCTCGGGCCCGGCCGGCAACCAGGAGAGCGGCCGGCTCCGCCGCGGCCTCCTCCTCTTCCCTCAGCCCGCCCGCCCGCGGCCTCCTTACCTGCGCCTCCAGCCCGCCCGCCCCCAGGCGGCCTCCACTCCGAGCGGCCCCGCGCGGCGCGGCGCGACGGACCCAGGCCTCGCAGCCCGCGAGTCAGCGAGGAGGAGCGACGGTTACGAAACCGGCAGCCTCCGCCCGTTCCGCCGCCGCCGCCACCGGCTTCCCCTCCTCACCCGAGCCGCGCGCGCCGCCGCCGCCACGGCCAATAGGAGCGCCGGCCTGAGAGCGACGCGCCCGCCCCTCCCGACGGGCGGCGCCGCCAGCCAATCGCGAGCGGCCTGGCTGCGGGAGGCGGGCACGTGGCGGAGGCGGTGGCCGAGGCGCGGCGCGGCGGGTCGGCGGGTGTGGCGGGAGCGGACCGAGGCTCTTGGCACCGCCCGCATCCTCCGCCGTTGGCGCGGGGCGGCGGCTCCGGGCTGTGGGAGACCCGCGGCGAGAAAGGACCTGTGAGAGTTGGAGGCGTTGGGGAGCTGTAGCCTTGCGAAGGCAGCACCTGTCTTTGGGAGGCACAACTTCCTGCGGTGGTTTTTTCAGTCGCCGAAGTCCGTCGGGGTTTCGCCGCGTCCTCGGGGAGGCCCCCTGGGCATCCGCAGGGACCGTCCCGCGGAGCGGCCCACGACACGCGCCTCCCGGGACGCGGGGCGCCCGACGGAGCCTGGAGGGAAGTGCAGGACCTCACGGCCGCGAAGGCAGCTGCCAACTTGCGGGAAAAGTGGTAGAGCCACGTTTTCCCAGCGTAGGCTTAGGACTGATGTCACATTGGTGAACGCTGCAAACTGTGGTTCGTTGTCACCGGAAAACGAATCGGGTTTGCGCGACCGATTCCCGTGTGGCGTCATCCAGGTGAACAGACTGAGAGATGGGATCTCAAAAAAAACGCATGGCAGTCCAGTTTTATGTATCCAGTGACACCACAGGAGGATCTGAAAGCGTCTGAAACCAGGAAGCAGCGCGCTGGGTGGAGGACAGAGCCAGGGCGATAGGTTTGATTGCTTCCTCTTTAGCAATTCTTATCGTACAAAAAATAAGAGTCTTTGAAAGAGGAAACATTTCTTCATCGCCCAGGCCAGGGCACCAGTTCTCCGCGTAGGATTGTTTCGAGGAATCAGCAAAGAGATAATAAAAACCTTTGCAAGAACTAAAGATAAAACATAAAATTAAAAGGGCTGCAACTAAAAGCGAGCAACCTTAACCATAGAAACATACTTGGTAGCAAGACATAATACCATCAAAACCACTGTTTCTTTTACTTTGGCCTTCAGTGTTCTGATTTGAAATTTCTTTGATCAAGATTTCAGCACTGTTAAAACTGGATTGTATTTTATTGCTTACAGAATCATAATTTTTCCCTCACCACTTGCCAATCACTTAAAAGTCGTATAGAAAAAAAATTTTTTTATAGGTATACTCATTTATCCTCTGGCTTGCTGACCACTCTGCCAGGCTGCTCTAGCGTTCTCTGTGTCTGGGCAGGTCTTCACATTCAGCGGGTCTGGTCAATGCCAAGGAGACTCAAGTATTTATTTCTTCAGCTGGCAGCTGGTAATTCTACTTAGTTTACAAATATTTTTTGGTGCTAACTACCTGCTAAGCTGTGGGCTAAGTGCTGGAGATTCAGCAACGAACAAGACAAACACAGCCCCTGCCTACATGAAGCTTGCCCCTAGAGCCAGGGAGACAGACATTCAGTAATTACACAATTTTTCTGTTACCACTTTCATAAATACGACAAAAAAGAAGTACAAGATGCTGTGAGATTATAAGAAGGGAACCAGATGTGGTCTGTGGTTCACGGAAGGTCTAACAGATGAGTAGGGTTTGCCTAGATAATGCAGATGAAGTGCATGTGCCAGGTTTTATGATGGGAGAAATGTAAGGCCAGAGTAGCGAGGCGCAGTGTCCCAGTGTCCCAGTGTCCCAGTGGAGACTGGTGAAATTAACAAGGCCTGTGGCCCAGGAAGAGTTCTGATTGTTACCCTGAGGATAAGAAGCCTTGGAAAGCTTTGCTCTCACCATAAGGAAATGAGGAGAGCCTGGCCGAGGCTGTCTCTGGGTTGAGGAAATCCACCATGTTGCTCTCTTCCGAGTCACAGGGACCTAAACCCTCATAAGAAAGGTTTCCTGCATAGATCTCTGCCTCACTGATACCTGATCCATATTCTACAAATCCAAAGAGTTTATAAACAAGTAGTACATTAAAATCCCCTCTAAAGGACTTGAGAGGTAGGATGTCTTGTTAGTTGATTATGCTACTTACCTGAGACCTACTATGCTTATCTTAGTTACCTAACAGGTGTGGACTGTAGTATCAGGCTGTTCTCTCCACAGCTTAACCTCTTAATGGTTGTGTGACCTTGGGCAAATTATGTAACCTTTCGGTCATCTGCAAATAGGGATAACGACAGTATCTACCCAAGAGGATTGCTGTGGGGGTTAAAGGAGTCAATGTGTGTTTGGCCCCCAGAACGGTGCCTGCTTGCTACATGGTAAGAACTCAAAAGTAGTAGCTGTTATTACTATGATGCTCATACATGAATTATAAACAAGTTATATCATAGAATTATAGGAGACTAAAATACACTTCAAAACAAGGTCAAGCTGTGCTTCATGTAGCTTTGATGATTCATTCAGCCACTGAATATTAAAGGTGTTCATGTCGACCCTGTAGTGTATCCTAAAATGTGTTTTTTGGAATAGTTCCCCTAGTTACCATATCTTATTTCACTTGCTTCTGTAGAGTAAGGAAAAATTTGGTAATTTCAAATCTCTTATTGTTTAGAAAGCCAGATCAATAAAAGTTTACTATGCAAACTTATGCATGTATCTTAAGTACTTATAATACTTAAGTACTTATCATAAATTTATATTTGGAAAGTTTCTCAAATATTAATATGCCAAATTAACCATCTCTGACAGGAGATCTGGGCCATATCTATATTTTGAGCATTGAGACAATGCCACATGTCTGCCTCTCAGTAGGTATTTACTGCAGTACATTAGCATTACTAGGACAGGGATCATCAATCATTCTGCACTGGTAAGGGCCCTTTTATTGGAAGTAACTGCAAACCATCTCTGCCCAGCCTTAGCAGAAAGAAGGACTTGGTCAAAGATTTTAGGGCCCTCTTCATGAAATACCCATGCTATATCAGAACCAAGAACTCAAATGTCTTCACATCTGTCTCTGCCTTTCTGTCCGTGTGTGTGTGTGTCTATTGGTTTCATTGATCTTTTCCTTGCACACCAACTTTCTTCACCCGGTCACTGACAGCCTCAATGTTCACAGTTTTGGTCACTAAAGAAAAGCCGACTTTCTTTTTAAGTCCCTGTTAGAAAAGTGTTAGGCAAGGACTCTGGGATCGCGATGCCCAGCTGGGTCAAGTGTTCATCCCTGAAATAACCAAAGGGACAGGAACAGGTCACGATGCACTGACAAGGCAGCTCGGGAGGGAGTGGCTGAGGCACTTCCCAAAGGAAAAAGGAGTGCTGAGCAGACACATCCAGGAATATCCACTTCACATGGCAGATCACACTGGGGTCACTCTGATGGAGACTCCTTTGCTCTGGCTGCCTGATTTGTGCTTCCCCATGTGATATGCTCCCCATGCCTGAAGGCAAAATTTATACCTCATTTTACCTTTGGAAGCACTGTTTGGAATCATAATGGCTACGATACTGAATGGTTGTTTTAGGGGACCGTAACTTTTGTAAGCGTGTCCAATGCCTGAAAGAGAAAGATCTGACATGGTTTAAACTTGAACAGTTAGTAAATACTGTGAATGTCCATTATACAGCACTTCGCCACATGTCAGACTTTGTTATCCCATGAGTTAAGATGTCACCTGTGCACTTAAGAATAGCACGTGTCGTCTGTGAGCACGGGGGTGGGTGCGTACCATGTGAGCACATGACGATAGGTACAGACCATCCACACACAGGAGGAGAGTTGCATGCATCTGTGGGCATGAGGCTAGGTACCTGCCGTCTGTGCATATAATGATAGGTATGTGCCGTCTATATACATAAGGCCATGACGTCATGCATATCAGGAGAGCTCATCTGTATCTTTTGTGGGCCCAGAAGGGTCTTATTCTTATATCTTCACTTCACTGAATAAGCACTGATTACCTGCTACATAATAATTGTAATGCAAATTATTCCAGTGCCTATGAAGCACAAAACTGAAGATAAATGGGTGTTTGGTTTTTGTCTTTTGTTATTGGCTTATGTATGATATATATGACACCAGTCTCCGTCATGGCAGTGTGATGGGCTTTGGAGACAGGCAAGAGTGATGTTGGCTGTATTTAACATAGCTAAAGCTCTGTTCCTCATGGGTAGAGAAGGTTGACAGTACATATCTCATTGAGTTGTTATAAGGATTAAGTAAACTGACATGAAGCTAGCATGGTGTCGGCACATGGGAGGCATAAAAATAATTTGTCCATCCAAAAACCATTTGCTACCAGGACCCAATTCTTGGTTTCTTTTCTTTAAGAGAGAGCGTGTGCATGCACATACTGGGCAGGCGGGGGGCGGGGCAGAGGGAGAGGGAGAGAATCCCAAGCAGTCTCCACGCTCAGCACTGAGCCTGATGCAGGACTGACCTCATGACCCTGAGATCATGACCTGAGCAGAAATCAAAAGTCGGACACTTAACTGACTGGGCCACCCAGACGCCCCGTTGTTTTCTTTTTTCTTTGCAAAGGTTTCTGGGGAAACATCTGAGATTTGGAGAGGCAAGCACAATGTAGCAGTCTTTGTGAAGACAGGGACATTCCCCCCGCCCCCACCTCTGTGAATGATCCCATTTCTTCAGCCCAGGGGAGCTGCTTTGATGCCTGGAGGATTTGTGCTTTTGTAAACATCATGAATCAGCCCCCTTGGCTGTGGGATCAACTCTGCAAAGAAGAAGCAGAAGTAGTGTTTGTGCCGAAGGGCCTGTCCTCAAGAGACCTTGATGATGGTCCTGGGACCATGTTAGTGCTGCAGTGCCTCATGGTGGGGCTCCAGGAGCTGGCCAAGAAATAACTTGGTGAGGGAGGTTGGAGACCATCTCAACTTTGCTGACTATTCTAGTTCGTGCTGGCCCTCCGCTTTC